CACTGCCTGGCTTCCCCCCATTCCACTGCCCTGCTTCCCCCCCTTTCATTGCCCTTTTTTCTTCCCCCCCTTCCACTTCCCTTTTTTCTTCCCCCCCCCTTTCATTGCCCTTTTTTCTTCCCCCCCTTCCACTTCCCTGCTTCCCCCCCTCCCACTGCCCTCCTTCCCCCCCTTCCACTGCCCTGCTTCCCCCCCTTCCACTGCCCTGCTTCCCCGCCTTCCACTGCCTGGCTTCCCCCCCTTCCACTGCCCGGCTTCCCCCCCTTCCACTGCCCTGCTTCCCCCCCTTCCACTGCCCTGCTTCCCCCCCTTCCACTGCCATGCTCCCCCCCCTTTCATTGCCCTGCTTCCCCCCCTTCCACTTCCCTGCTTCCCCCCCTCCCACTGCCCTGCTGCCCCCCCTTCCACTTCCCTGCTTCCCCCCCTTCCACTGCCCTCCTTCCCCCCCTTCCACTGCCCTGCTTCCCCGCCTTCCACTGCCTGGCTTCCCCCCCTTCCACTGCCCTGCTTCCCCCCCTTCCACTGCCCGGCTTCCCCCCCTTCCACTGCCCTGCTTCCCCCCCTTCCACAGCCCTGCTTCCCCCCCTTCCACAGCCCTGCTTCCCCCCCTTCCACTTCCCTGCTTCCCCCCCTTCCACTGCCCTGCTTCCCCGCCTTCCACTGCCCTGCTTCCCCCCCTTCCACTGCCCTGCTTCCCCCCCTTCCACTGCCCTGCTTCCCCCCCCTTCCACTGCCCTGCTTCCCCCCCTTCCACTGCCCTGCTTCCCCCCCTTCCACTGCCCGGCTTCCCCCCCTTCCACTGCCCTGCTTCCCCCCCTTCCACTGCCCTGCTTCCCCCCCTTCCACTGCCCTGCTTCCCCCCCTTCCACTTTCCTGCTTCTCCCCCTTCCGTAGCATGGAAGCAATCCCCCCTTCCTGCCAGGAGCATGGGAGAGGGGACCATGGGAAAGGGGACCATGGGAGAGAGGCGGACAGGGCAAGCGCGTCGCAGAGCGGGGTACTATGTGGTGTGACGCGTCGGGCTAGCGAGGGATTGGCGCTGGGCTAGCGAGGGATTGGCGCTGCGTAAGGGCGGGATTGGCGCTGCGTTAGGGCGGGATTGGCGCTGCGTTAGGGCGGGATCGGCGCTGCGTTAGGGCGGGATCGGCGCAGCGTTAGGGCGGGATTGGCGCAGCGTTAGGGCGGGATTGGCGCAGCGTTATGGCGGGATTGGCGCAGCGTTATGGCGGGATTGGCGCAGCGTTAGGGCGGGATTGGCGCTGGCGAGGATATAGCTGTTCAGGTCTTTCCGTAGCGCGCCCTGGAGTGCTTGTGTTGCGTGCTGGTTCGGGACTAGCATGCTGCGCGGGGGCGCGATTTGGTACGAAGTAGTTGTTAGTGTTACTGGAACTTGGTTCCGCTACCAGAGACGCACATTTTTCTACTGACATGGTAGGTAAGCACTGTGTTCGCGAGCGAGAATGGCGGGAAGGAGCCATTGCCACTGAGTACAGAGTAAAAAGGCAAAAGCTTTGGATCTTGGTGTGGCGGGTGGAAAGGCTTTGCTTGTTCCGTCGCTGGGTTGGGACAGGCGTCGCATAGCACGTCACCTCTCCCCGATCTCAAAATCGCACCCCTCGGGTGTGTATTTGGTTACCGTGTTTCTGTCGCGCCCGTTTTCGCGTGTAGTACAACTCAAAACCTTTGAGTCTTGAGTTTGGTCTGTCCGCTCGCTTTAAAATGCTTGACCTGCTTGACATTTGCTCCTTGCGATCGGTTCGCACGTCGTGAACTTTCTAAACGACGTCAAGCGGCTTCACAACCAATCTTCTTCTGCCACATCAACAACTCTCACGAAACCCAACAGACTCGGCGACCCAATTGACCACGACAGCGCGGTCCGATTCCCCCCAAGACAATTTCACCCCAACAGCATTCCCGAAGCGCATTTCGCAATTCCCTGAAGTTGTCGAATTTCCCACAGCAGCCAGCACAGCGCTAACTACAAATGCAACTGAACTGCCCCCCCCACTAAGTCAGGCACGCAAGTCCTCAGGAACTACCGTTTCCTCCTCACCACCTCTCGCCCGGTTCGCTCTCGCGTTCCCCACTCCGTCGCGGCTACCATCAGCAGGCTTCATTCGGCCTGACTGGAGAGCAGAATAGACTTCAGAAGCCACAGGCAGTCTGCACTGCAATCGCAGGTGGCACTGCCTCAGGGTTCACCCTACTAGTAGTAGGGTCGCTCTGAGTCAGCCAAGATGGCTGGCAGCATGGCCGTGAAGAGCCTGAGTCTGAAGAGGGTGGCACTCCTGTGGGTCGTTGCAGCTGGCTTCTTCAGTGCGTCTGTGGCAGGTAAGCCTCCTAGAAGCCCCTTTTCAAGTGTAGATAATCTGTGGCATGATGCCGGCTTGGTTCCCCTTCAACGTTTCATTCCGGAAGGGTTTACTCCCGGCCCGGATTCAGATTTAAATACCTCTGATTTTTTTTTGTCTCAGCCCAAATAACCCTCAACTTGCTTTTTCTCAGGTGAACTGCCGTCCAGTGGGAGGAATCGGCCTTCGAGGGAGTTGAGGTGAGGCTGTATTCTCGGCATTGAGAGGTATTGAGAACAATCAGCTGTGGCAGTCCACATGTAGGTACCCTAGTAGGTATTTTGCTTTATTGTTCCGTTTATTCTTCACTCAGACAGCACTGTGGCCTGAACCATTCAACGCATCGCCTAGCAAAGTCCTCTTACAACGTGTTTCCAGCGGACTACTATCTCAGCGTCTTCGGCTTCAAGCTCCCTCTAGCTCCCTTCTCATCCCCCTTTCTCAACGTCCTCAGCTTCAACCTCCCTCTGCCTCCCTTCTCCTCCGTTTCCCGCACTCCCCTTTCCCCACTTGACAACTCTTTGATTCTTCACAGCGACACCAGTGGGGCAAGCGTGCTCAACGTGTTTCCAGCAGACTCCTTTCTCAAAGTCCTCAGCTCCAACTTCCCTCTGCCGCGTCTGCCCCAGCTGCCCTTCCCCTTCAAGGACAACAATTTCAAACACTCGCCTCCCCCCCGCCGCCGTACCCTCCCCCGCCATCCCCTTCACAGTGACAACTCCGGGGCAAGCGCGTTCAACGTGTTTCCAGCAGACTCCTACCTCGACGTCCTTGGCTTCCAACTCCCGCCCGCTTCCCTTCTCCTTCCTCCCCCAACCCCCTTGTCCCACACAACCACTCCTTGATTCTTCACAGGGACAACAGTGGGGCAACGTCGCTCAACGTGTTTCCAGCAGACTCCTACCTCAACGTCCTCAGCTTCACCTACCTCTGCCTTGCTTTCCCCAGCTGCCCCTCCCCTTCAAAGATAAGTTCACAAAGTTCAACCACTTACCTCCACCCCCTCCGCCCTCCCCTCCCCCTCCATCCCCTTTGCAGTGACAACTCCGGGGCGGGCTTGCTCAACGTGTTTCCAGCAGAATCCTATCTCAACGTCCTTGGCTTCAACCTGCCCCTGCCGCGCCTGCCCCAGCTGCCCTTCCCCTTCAAAGACAAGTTTCACAAGTTCAAGAAATCGCCTCCTCCCCCCCGCCCTCCCCTCCCCCTCCATCCCCTTCTCCCCCTCCTCCTCTCCTCCTCCCCCCAAGAAAAAGTCTCCTCCCCCTCCCAAGAAAAAGTCGCCCCCGCCTCCCAAGAAAAAGAGCCCTCCGCCTCCGAAAAAGTCCCCACCTCCCCCTGAGAAAAAGTCGCCTCCTCCCCCCAAGATGAAATCGCCCCCTCCCCCCAAGAAGTCTCCCCCTCCTCCTGAGAAAAAATCTCCCCCTCCCCCGAGAAAAAGTCCCCTCCCCCCCCTGTAAAGAAATCTCCTCCCCCGCCCAAGAGAGAGTCCCCCCCTCCTCCCAAGAAAAAATCTCCGCCTCCCCCTGAGAAAAAGTCCCCCCCTCCCTCTGAGAAAAAGTCTCCCCCTCCTCCCAAGAAAAAATCTCCGCCTCCCCCTGAGAAAAAGTCCCCCCCTCCCCCCGAGAAAAAGTCTCTCCCCCCTCCCAAGAAAAAGTCCCCTCCTCCCCCGAAAACAACCCCCCCCCGCCCCCCAAGAAAAAGTCGCCCCCTCCCCCCAAGAAAAAGTCTCCTCCCCCTCCCAAGAAGGAGTCTCCTCCCCCACCCTCTCCCTCTCCCCCTCCTCCTCCACCTCGCAAGCCATCCAAAAAGGACCAGCTCATCGTCATCCTCCTTAAGGGTGCTTCGATACTAGTGCGCAAGGCGTACACCATTCTCCCCGGTGACAAAGCGTCTCAAAAGGGCACGCTGTGGGCCGTGGTAACCGCACTGGGTGACGCTGAGGGGCTTATCAACGAAGGGCAGTGGGACATGGCACAGAAGCAGGTGGAGAATAGCGTTGTGACGCTGGATGAAGTGAGGGAGGAGGTGAGGGAGGGAAGGTGGGGTCTGGGGGGGTGGGTGCAGCAGCAGGCGGCAGTGGGGGCGATTTCGCTGGCACGGGTGGAAATAGTGAAGGCGCAGGCCATGCTCCAGTAGTGGTAACGAGAGGCATTGAGGGGCGGATGGGTGTAGAGAATGGGTGCAGAGAATGGGTGTAGAGAATGGGTGCAGAGAATGGGTGCAGCATCAGGCAGCAGCGGGGGCGATTTCGCAAGGCACAGGCGATGCTCCAACAGTGGTAACGAGGCATTGAGGGGAGGGTGGGTGCAACAGTAGGCAGCAGTGGGGGATATTTCGCTGGCTAGGGGTGAACTTCTGGAGGCTTCGGCACTGGTCCAGCTGTGAGAAGATGAAAGTAAAAGGGCAATGGGGATGCCGTCTCAGGAGAGAGAAAAGTCAAGGCGCTGTCTCAGTTAAGGCGCTGCTCGAGGCAGCTAGAGGCACTCAACCGACCAGCTGGAGTGCTGCGGCAGCTGTTCCGAGGAGTGGAATAAGGGGGCTGCCATGGCAATGGCAACCGACCAGTGAAAGCCACGTACCTCTGTGGTTACGCAGCCGAACCATGCCTGTATGCATGCCAAATAATGAATGTTCTGATAGTATACTTGTGTTGAGAAAATAAAAGAAAAAAAGGAGAAGGAACGAAGCAGGATTCTTACTCGACGTGAGGTGTGAGGATAGTAGGGTACGGAGAGGAGGCACAGGAGAGTGGGGAGCGGAGCAGGCCCTGACATGTGGCGAATACCTGATGCTGGGATGTGGGGGGTGATGGTGGGATGTGGGGGGTGATGCTGGGATGTGGTGCTGATGGGGGGATGTGGTGCTGATGGGGGGATGTGATGGTAGGAAGTGGGTGCCGGGGAGGGTGGGAGGGGAATGAGAAATGGGGAGGTTGGGGTGAAATTTCCAAGGAGAGACAAGACTAGAGATGCAGCTGAGCTGAGAATCGCTGTGATGTTGTGAGGATAGGGAAACACCTCTAGTGTTCAATGTCATTTTTTAGTCGACTCAAATGTCATTTTTGAGTCGACTCGAATGTCATTTTTGAGTCGACTCAAGAATCGCTGTGATGCTGTGAGGATAGGGAAACACCTCTAGTGTACAATGTCGCCGGCTTCGAGAATCCTAAGGTTATATGCGAATTCTGCGTCGATAGATCTGCGTGGTGTCAGAGATGGCGGAGATTTGTGTGCAAGTCGTGCGAAAGGTCATGACATCCGCCTTGCGATCTGTCACACGATTTGCCACTCGATTTGCCACTCGATTTGCCACACCATTTTGCACACAAATCGTGTGACAGGAGGGCATAACACCTGCCAGCACGCACGGCGCAGACGATAAAGCCTTCCATGCGGTATGGCAACAGAAACCAGACGACTCGTCGGATGAATCCTCGGAGGCTTAGGGTGTGTTTATGGCCGCAAGTCAAGCTTCTAGTCTAGTCAAGTGGGGCAGTCAGAGCTCTAAACCGCTCTAATCAGGCGCGAAGGGTTCTGAACCGCTCTGGAAGTTGGCCACTTGACTAGTCTACAAACTTGACTAGCAGCCAGAAACGCACCCTTAGCCTCCTCTCACCCAAAACCCGATGAACGAGGCATCTATGGTTCCACCCAAATGCGCGCATGCAGGCCATGCGCTCCTACCTAAATGCTACAAGAGCATTTCTACGGAATTTTCTGGATCTGGTGGAAGAAATTCGTTATGCCAAGGATACGATAAGTTGAGGATTTTGCCTCGTCCATGGAGCCTAGAATCCTCGATATTCTGGAAACCTCGTTATGCTACGAGTATGCTTGATCTAGACGCGGGAATGGCGCGCTGCGAAAAATATCAATACATACACAGGTGCCATTGACAAATGCTTGGTCAAGATGCGTAAATGGTGTGCTTCAAGAAAATGAATCACATATTATTTTGAAGGGTGTGCAAAGATCCTTCAACGTTTTCAAGCAAGCTATTAGATGCAATGTTGCACGGATTGAGAGGATGTCATTTCTCACAACCATGCCAACAAAACAAGCAAAGTTGTGTCCTCCCCTGACAGTAGCATCTAGAATGTAGCAACCAAGATTCATCTCATCTCCACCAGCCAACTTCTACCGCAGAGAGAAAGCATTCTGGCTGGGGTTCAGAAACAGCCTCATGTAGAGCTGGGACCAACTAGAGTTGTCCACGGATTCCAGTCATTGAGTTGGACAAATGTAGTATAAACTGCTCCTTTCTTCCCTCCCAGCGCCAAGTAACGCAATGAACTTCTGTAACACCTAACCAGAGCCTCATTTAATGGCGGCACGAACCTCAGCAGTAACATCCGCTGCCTTCCTGTCTGCATGGAGATTGGCAACCTTGCCCTTAGCAGCATAGTAGTCAATCACCTGCATATTCCAGGAAATGAGAAAGCACAGTAAGAATCACAGTAAGACAGTGCAAAAATTCAGCCAGCCATGCAAACCCATGGAACCTAATATCAACAAGAAAACGAGTCGCGTCATGTGAGCGAACTTCACCGCAGGGATGTGATGTGAAGTATGTGGATGGAGAATATGGCATTTATCAGCTTACAGGAGAGGTTTGCTTATGGAATGCCGCCAATCGGCTGCGCAAAGTGTCGGCATTGTCATCCTTACGTTGAACCAGGGGCTCACCGGTGATCTGACAGGCAAAAAGCGCATATGGGGAATTTGAGGGGGGTTTTTGAGACAAGACACGTGGGCTGGGGAGAATTTGAAGGCCCAAAAAGAATGTAAAAATTTCCACCAGAACCTTCCATTATGGTATATGTACATTGCTTTTACTCCGCATGTTGACTAAAACTTATCCACATCAAGACTACCACTTACATCGTCCTTTCCAGGAACTTTCGGCGGAGCGAACTTGGTGTGGTAGGAGCGGCCGCTGGCAGGGTGGATCCACCGGCCGCAGATCCTCTCCTCGAGCACCGAGTCAGGCACCTCGAAGTTAAGCACCTTATCGACCTTCTGCCCTTCTTCTCCAGCATCGCGTCCAGCTGGTGGACACAGCAAGGGAGAAAATAGAGGCGCATCAGAAATGCATCCACCTGCCGGTCCAGCCGCAGATTCTCTCCTCCAGGACCGAGTCAGGCACTTCAAAGTTGAGCACCTCGTCCGCCTTCTGGCCCTTCTTCTCCAGCATCGCGTCCAGCTGTTCTTGGCCACAGGATGGACGATGGAAAACGAAACCAAGTGAGAGGTGGTCGAGTTCGCTCACAGAGCCACGCGGTTGCTTGGTTCTTCTACCGATTCATGTAAGTCAGGGTTTCGTGTGAATGCGGTCCCAATGCGCTCACCTTCTCCGCCTGGACGACCGTGCGCGGTAAGCCGTCCAGGATGAAGCCCCTTGCTGAAGGGCGGCCGCGCGGCCGCTTGACCAGGTGTATTCTGAGTTGGACTAGAAATACATACGGACGTCTTGGGTTGGCTCACCTTCTCCGCCTGGACGACCGTGCGCGGGAAGCCGTCGAAGATGAAGCCCTTGCTGCAGGACGGCTGAACGGCCGCTTTACCAGGTGTATTTGTGTCAGTATAAAAACATATCGGGAATATAGGGACGTCTCAAGTCGGCTCACCTTCTGTGCCTGGACGACCGTGCGCGGGAAGCCGTCGAGGATGAAGCCCTTCCCGCAAAACGGACGCGCGGCCGCTTGACCAGGTGTATTTCGAGTCACACTCGAGACGTATAGAGAACTCTCAAGTTGGCTCACCTTCTCCGCCTGGACGACCGTGCGCGGGAAGCCGTCGAGGATGAAGCCCTTGCCGCAGGACGGCCGCTTGAGCGCCTCCTCGATGATGCCCACCACCAGATCGTCCGACACGAGCTCGCCCTGATGGCGAGAGGATATGGAAAGAGTGAGTGCTTCCTCGCATGCGTGAGAAATGGAGCGTGCAAAACGGACAAGGGAGGCCCATACGCGGCGAAAGGAAGGTCGCGAACAAGAGGTGAAGGACTGAGCACTAGAGACAAAATGCCACCATGCGAGCGAGATCTTCAGTGGAGTGACAAGAATAATGCCGCAGCGCACCTCCTCCATGGTCTCTTTCGAGTCGACACAAAATACTTGAAGTATAGGAATGGGTTCAGTGTGGCGACAGGGATAATGCTGCGGTGCACCGCACCTTTTCCATGGTCTCTTTCGCCTTGAGACCCAGCGGCGTCTGTTTGGCGACGGCAGCCCGGAGCATATCCCCGGTGGCCAGATGGCACAGGCAGTTCTCCTCCTTGATTATGGGGGACTGAGTGCCCTTACCGCAACCAGGAGGACCTAAAACGGATCAGCAGGAATGGAAGAGGGAATAAAACCAGTGAGTGAAGGAACAACACATAAGGAGGAAAGCAAGGGCATGGCATCCGCAACACGAAGTGATCGAGCGGGGGGGAGAGGAAAGAAGGAAAAACTCTCACCGATCAGAATAACTCTCTTCTCGGGCTTGGGAGCGCATTTCATCCGCCTTATAAGCTCGCCCATAAGATCCCTGTCGCAGTAATCCTCCAAAGCGTCGGCCATGATGAGACACTGCTTAGAGACTCAGCGGCACTGAAGAGAAGCTGGGAAGGATGACCAGCGGAGACTCGAGCCTGAACCAGGTTCTGCAAAAACTACCACCAGACCAGAGCCTGAACCAGATTCACAGAAAATAAACTGAAAGGCAGGAATGCCAGAAATCCTGACCTGGTCCTCGTAAAAACCTCGAAGCTAGATTCAAAATCTGGATAAAGCAGATTTCTGCTGGCTTCAGCTCTGCTGATCTGGTCTGGGCAGACGGACCAATGACGTGCAAGCTCTGGAGTCTAGGGGCAATTGGTTTTGGGCAACAAGTACTGCTGGGAAGGAACGCACTGGTTGGGGGACTCAAGCTGGCAGTCCACGTCAGCTTTCCAAGAAGCACGCTGCCAAGCTGGAGAAAAGTGGTCCCAGCGGCGCGTTTCATCCGGGGGTGACTAGCCTGGGCCAAGCGTTGAACGAGCCGCCACGCGTGAGCGTGTGCAAATCAACGTGGCAGGAAGGAAACAGCCAGATGAAGTTTCGATGTCCGCCTCGGCCCGAACCTCTTCTTTTCGAAGCTGTAACGCGTACGAAGATTTCCGACATCGTTTCAGTTTGGATGAACTGTACATAAGAAAAGAACTTCTACAAGTAACATTTTCGTAGGGAAACTCCAAAACGCATGTCACGGAAGCAGATTTCATGCAGTAGGGGATTTCAATACACCTCGAACATAACGACACGTGGCCAGAATACTCCAAGGCCAAGGTGCAAGGTCTCGTGATTGGATTACGCCCTGATTGTCACTGATCAGCAGCAGCAGCAGCAGATTATGGTCCCATCTAGTTCTCCTAGCAGTAAGTTTTTGCAAGAGAGCTCCAATTTTGGTCTGATGCTATGGCGTCCTTGGCTATGAACACCGTTCTCCAGAATGCCTCGGTGATGCAAAATAGGCTTCGTCAGAAAGCGAGTATTGTTCCCGTCGGCTTTGGTTCAGCGGCTAGTGCCAACACGTGTAGAGCCACCGCGGAAGCTTCTCCATCAGCTCGAGCGGATAACGCGCAGACCTGCTTGCGTTGCGGAAACCTTTACACTCCGGATGACAATTCCCCTGTAGCTTGCAAATACCATGGCCATATGACAGGTTAGATACTATTTTTTCGCCTGTGTGCCTACCATTTGTGTACCTGAAGTTTCATGCTACCAGGCCTGGTCATCAGACATTTCTGAGGCATTCTTGGTCACAGAAGACAGTGTCGGAAGTGCCATGGACAGATGGCAGGTCACATCTCTTGACATCGAAGGCCACATTTTGCAGCATTCAAGGCCACATTTTTCAACGTTAAGAGCATATCTGGTTGCCTCATCCTGCTTTCGTTACGATGATGGTTCCGTTCCGTTTCTGGTTGCTCATCGCCTTGATCCGCTTCATCACTCTCGGACCTTGTCTGGCTTTGTTGCTCTGTTCCTGAACTAATCCCCGGTATGAGCAGGAGACAAGGGCCTGTTTGCATATGCACCGCCTCATCAAGGTGTCGACGGCGACTGGTCAGAAAAGAGCGGAATCATAGTCTACGTCTGGAACGATAAGGAGGAGCGGCCGAACACAGGACACAAGAACTGGAAGCGGCGGTGGACATGCTGTGGAGTGTACGATGAAAATGGTGCTCCCTGCAGATCAGGCTGGCATGTTTCCTATGACGATGGAGCGACTAGGTTCTGAAGCTCCATTCCAAATGGTAACCTCCGTTGGTCAGGGAAGTGCTTTTTCAGGTTTCCTTTCACAGCTGTTTTGAGTACCCATCTTCTCTTCATGCCTGCTAATGATGTTTTCCAGTGATTTGCAGGTAAAACCGCCTCACTACAGTACCATTTCTGGTACTGCCTCAGTTCCAAAGGCTTGCATGCCATGCCAGAACCTAGACCGCTTTGCCATCCAGTGAATGTTTGGTGCTGACTGACTAGTCAGACACCGGACTGAAAGCAATATGGATGAGGACATACGATCCGAGGCAAGGGATGTACGGTACCTTCCCAGCCTAGCAGATCGGGCTGGCATGTTTCCTATGATGGTGGGGCAACAGATTTTCTGGAACTGCCTGAACAGTAACCTTTACTCACCAGTCAACTACTCTCCAGAATGCTTTGTTCTCAGGTTTCCTGTGTCTCTACATTCTTTGTACTAATGTGCACCAGCGCATTGCAGGCTAATCTCAGCAAGGCATAATCATGTTCCTAATGTTCAGCACAAGTGACTGAACCCACTCAGTTTCTGTAACATCTCATTACCAAACGGATGAGCTTACATAAGTGAAGGGGACAATAAGTAGTAGCTATCTGATGTGTCCATGAGAAGCTCCAAGCGAACATTCATGGACTGAGAGAGGCGGAGACGTGGGAGAGTGCGGAACGGACCGAAGGTTGGAGCGGGTGTCACTGGTGTTGTTGATGTCCGTCCGCTCCCAACATTAGCTAATGGATTCAACATGTCCCCAGCCTTTGAAACATTCAACTTGCCCGCATCTGTCTCTGACCCAGCCAGCCCCCGTCCCCCACCGGCAGCCATGCCAGCAGAACCAGCTGCACCACCTATGGTACCATCCATGCTGCTGCCACCCTCTAGCCCTTGTGTTTCACCAAGATTACACGGAGTGGCACCTCCAACAGGGCCATCCCAACGGTTACCACTCGCCAGTCCTGTAGCACCAGCAGCAGCACCACCAGCAGCACCAAGACTGTGCCTGAAAGCACCGCTTGCTCGTGCCATGTCTACTTGCATCTGCATCATCTGCGCTTCCATGTCTTTGCTTAGTTCCATCCTCATTCTCTCAGTCTCCAACATCCGCTCCAGTTTGGCACGCTCCACTTGCTCGTACACTGTGGCGAGTTGCCTTACGGCTAGCGCCATGCCCTTTAACGAGGATGAGGCTCCTAGGGGGGCTTTTTTCTTCATTGATGTGGCAGGAGCAGCTCTGAGCGCCCTACTGATCTTCTGTGACTGTGCTGCTTCGCCCTGCACCAGAGGATTCTGCGATGGTGGCTGCTGCTGCTGATACTGCTGTTGTTGTTGCTGTTGCTGCTGATACAGTTGTTGATACTGCTGTTGTTGTTGCTGCTGCTGCTGCTGCTGCTGCTGCTGCTGCTGCTGCTGCTGATGATACTGCTGTTGGTGTTGCTGCTGCTGCTGGTGCTGCTGTTGCTGCTGATACTGCTGTTGCTGCTGCTGATACTGATACTGATACTGCTGCTGCTGCTGCTGATCTCGCTGCCGCTGTTCTCGCTGCCGCTGCTGTTGATGGTGTTGTTGCTGCTGCTGCTCATGCTGCCGCTGTTGTTGGAGCTGCTGCTGCTGCTGCTGCTGCTGCTGCTGCTGCTGATGATGATGATGCTGTTGCTGTTGCTGCTGTTCTTGCTGCCGCTGCTGCTGCTGCGGCATGCCTACATACGGCACTGGCTTCATCCCCGCAGCAACCTCACGAATAATCCCCCACCTCTGCTGCCGGAAATCAGGGGGCGGAACGGAAAATGGCGGAACGGAAAATGGCGGAACGAAAAATGGCGGAACGCCCCCCAAGTGAGGGGCGCGGGGCGAGACGACAACGCGAGAGGTGCGAACGGGGCTGCAGGCAAACGGTGGCGCGACGGTCGGGACGAACGAAAGGGCGCGAAAAAGGAAAGGCGACGGGGAGGGAAAGGGCGACGGACGAGGATCTACGGTACGAGGAGGGACGGGGAAAGGCTCAGCGTCGATGGTGTAACTGAGACGAATTTCCCTGCTGAAGCGGCGGTAGTGCCACGGGGAATGTCCGTGTGAAGGGAGAGGGGCGAGGGGCTGAAACGCGTGATGCGAGGGGCGGGTCAACTGCTGTGGCGCGGAAGTCGCTTCTCGAGGCGGACGTCAACTAGAGACGGATCTGCAGTGATGGCTTCCGTGCGGTACGGTACGGTACCGGAAGTCGCTTCTCAGGCATTTGCATCACTGCATCCGTCAGACAGTACGGTACCCTCGTGACAGGAGAGGTGGACATGACAAATTGATCGAGGTGAGGCAGACTGGGTGTATCAAGAACAGTTCCCACCCACCCTCTCTACTGTCAAGTCCAGTCTCTTGAGGTTGTGAAGGCGGAGAGGTGAGCTGGCTGGTTTAGGCCAACCGTGCTGCATACTTTTCACAGCCAATGGAAAGTTAGGGGTGCGCCTAAAAAATAGATACCTCTCACAGCCAATGGAAAGTTAGGGGAACATTACGTTTAGTTGAATAGAGAGCATACACGCACGCACACATGTAAGCATGCTGTGCTGACGTTATAATAGAGTCTCCATGTGCCGAGTAGGTATTTTCAATCCACCCTTTCCTCCAACCCCGCTCCCCAACCCAACCCAACCCAACCTGACCCAACGCCTGCCCTCCCTTGGAACAGCTCCACTTATTGACATCCCCTTCACAAGCAGCTTCGCTGCAAGTGAAGTGACATCCCCACCATGCGATTCCCCGCTTGGTAGCCTGTTAACTCGTCATCCTCTTACAGATCCCAGTGACTTGTCAAAAGACTCCTCCGTGCCTCATGTACCCCCTCCCAGGCCATTCCTGCTCCCAGGTCAGCTCTCCTCCCAATTCAGCTCCGGTCCCCATTCCTGCTCCCATTCCTTACTGCCGTAAGTCTTACAGTGGCCCTCCCTGCCACAGCATTTCCATGCCATTGTCGCACAAGTCCAAACCAGCAACTGCATTGCTTCTCGCGAAGGTGCTGCTGCTCCTGTAGCTGCCAACCGCCCACCCGTTGCTGCGACAGCTGGTGGGCGGTGTAGCTGCATTGATCCTTATGTCAACGAAAGAAAGTTTCGAGCCACTCCTGTACACGCCTCTGCTCATCTCTGAGTCGACTCAAAAGTCGCCTCTGCTCATCGTGTCAGGTTAGTCTTGTCAAGGTCGACGCTCGTCAGTGCCTCTGCACCTCTCTGCTCCATCTTGTCCTTGCTGTTACCTGGTGACCATGCTATTGTAACACTGCAGCACCTGTAAGGCCACTCGAGTTTGGCTACCTGTAAGGCCACTCGAGTCCACTGTAGTCCACTCTAGGATCACCTGTGGGCTACTGTTAACCGCTGCTCCCTGGTAACAAAGCTGCCTCTGGTAACCAAACTGCTCCCTGGTAACAAAGGTGCTTCTGGTAAACGAACTGCTCCCTGGTAACCAAGCTGCTCCTGGTAACCCAGCCTCTCCCTGGTGACCGTGCCACTCCCTGGTATCCATGATACTAACTGGTAACCGTGCAGCTATCTGTAGGGCCACTGCGCGCCTATCAGCTCGATGGGCTCCTCCCCTCTGAACGCCGATGTGGAGTACCATGCTGAGATGAAGCAGCTCTCCCTTATCTCCCTCCCTGCCGCACTGCTGCACGTGCAAACTATCTGTAGGGCCACTGTGCCACTGTCTGTAGGGCCACTGCGCCACTATCTGTAGGGCCACTGAGCGCCAATGAGCTCGATGGGCTCCTCCCCTCGGAATGCCGATGTGGAGTACCATGCTGATATGATGCAGCTCTCCCTTATCTCCCTCCCTGCTGCACTGCTGGACGTGCAAACTATCTGTAGGGCCACTGCGCCACTATCTGTAGGGCCACTGAGCGCCAATGAGCTCAATGGGCTCCTCCCCTCGGAATGCCGATGTGGAGTACCATGCTGATATGATGCAGCTCTCCCTTATCTCCCCGCGCTTCCTCTGGCGTCTGTGCGGTGACAAGGGGTGATGAGGGGTAACAGACAGACAGAGGGTGGAAGGAGGGAGTAGTGAGAGAAGGAAACAGCTCCATCGGCTCCTGTGCTTGGGTGGAATACCATGCCGATATGATGCAACACTTCCTTATCCCCTGCGCCTCCTCTGGGTGGGCAAGGATAATAAGGGGTGACAAGGGGTGACAAGGGGTGACAAGGGGTGCCAAGGGGTGACACAGTAACAAGCGATGTCCAGACGGCATGGTCCATTCTCAGAGGCTTTGCATGGACCATTGCCAGAGACCTAATGACTAGTCTGTACCGACATGGACTGATTTGACTTCTGTTGACTCGGGTTGACTCACCGTGACTCGCGTTGACTCATCTTGTCTCGCGTTGACTCATCTTGGCTCGCGTTGACTCACCATGACTCACGTTGACTCACCATGACTCGTGTTGACTCACCATGACTCGCGTTGACTCACCTCACAGCGCTGCTGCAGGGAAGCAGGGCTGGGCATGGTCCATCCCCAGAGGCGCTCCCCAATCTTCAAAGCCCGCTGCAGCTGCTCCGGGCTCATGCCCACTGGTGTGGTGCAAGGGACGGGGTGCAAGGGACGGGGTGCAAGGGACGGGGTGCAAGGGACGGGGTGCATACAAGGGGGCACGGTCAAGGCACACATTCAAAAAAACGTTCAAAGCCCGCTGCAGCTGCTCCGGGCTCATGCCCACTGTATGGGCGTGGGAGGACACGGGGTACCCTGAAAGTACATAACTGGGATACTGGATGAGATTGACTGTTGAGTCGACTCAAAAGTCACCTCGTTACTATGGGCGTGGGAGGACAAGGGGTACCCTGAAAGTGCATAACTGGGATACTGGATGAGATTTAAAACACATACCAACCAACCCCTCACCTTCCCATCCCCACCCCTTCCCATCCCCACCGTCCCACCACTTCGCGTCCCCCACCTTCCCATCCCCACCTTCCATCCCCACCTTCCCATCCCCCACCTTCGCATCCCCCACCTTCGCATCCCCCACCTTCGCATCCCCACCTTCGCATCCCCCACCTTCGCATCCCCCACCTTCCCATCCCCCACCTTCCCATCCCCCACCTTCCCATCCCCCCACCTTCGCATCCCCCACCTTCGCATCCCCCACCTTCGCATCCCCACCTTCGCATCCCCCACCTTCGCATCCCCCACCTTCGCATCCCCCACCTTCGCATCCCCCACCTTCGCATCCCCCACCTTCGCATCCCCCACCTTCGCATCCCCCACCTTCCCATCCCCCACCTTCCCATCCCCCACCTTCGCATCCCCCACCTTTCGCATCCCCCACCTTCGCATCCCCCACCTTCGCATCCCTCACCTTCGCATCCCCCACCTTCGCATCCCCCACCTTCGCATCCCCCACCTTCGCATCCCCCACCTTCCCATCCCCCCTTCCACCCCTTCCCATCCCCCACCTTCGCATCCCCCACCTTCGCATCCCCCCACCTTCGCATCCCCACCTTCGCATCCCCCCACCTTCGCATCCCCCACCTTCGCATCCCCCACCTTCGCATCCCCCACCTTCCCATCCCCCACCTTCCCATCCCCCCACCTTCGCATCCCCCACCTTCGCATCCCCCACCTTCGCATCCCCCACCTTCGCATCCCCCACCTTCGCATCCCCCACCTTCGCATCCCCCACCTTCGCATCCCCCACCTTCCCATCCCCCACCTTCCCATCCCCCACCTTCCCATCCCCCACCTTCGCATCCCCCACCTTCGCATCCCCCACCTTCCCATCCCCCACCTTCGCATCCCCCACCTTCGCATCCCCCACCTTCGCATCCCCCACCTTCCCATCCCCCACCTTCCCATCCCCCACCTTCGCATCCCCCACCTTCGCATCCCCACCTTCGCATCCCCCACCTTCGCATCCCCCACCTTCGCATCCCCCACCTTCGCATCCCCCACCTTCCATCCCCCACCTTCCCATCCCCCACCTTCGCATCCCCCACCTTCCCATCCCTCACCTTCCCATCCCCACCTTCCCATCCCCCACCTTCCCATCCCCCACCTTCGCATCCCCCACCTTCGCATCCCCCACCTTCGCATCCCCCACCTTCGCATCCCCCACCTTCGCATCCCCCACCTTCGCATCCCCCACCTTCCCATCCCCCACCTTCCCATCCCCCACCTTCGCATCCCCACCTTCCCATCCCCCACCTTCCCATCCCCCACCTTCCCATCCCCCACCTTCCCATCCCTCACCTTCCCATCCCCCACCTTCCCATCCCCCACCTTCCCATCCCCCACCTTCGCATCCCCCACCTTCGCATCCCCCACCTTCGCATCCCCCACCTTCGCATCCCCCACCTTCGCATCCCCCACCTTCCCATCCCCCACCTTCCCATCCCCCACCTTCCCATCCCCCACCTTCCCATCCCCCACCTTCGCATCCCCCACCTTCCCATCCCCCACCTTCCCATCCCCCACCTTCCCATCCCTCACCTTCCCATCCCCCACCTTCCCATCCCCCACCTTCGCATCCCCCACCTTCGCATCCCCCACCTTCGCATCCCCCCCACCTTCGCATCCCCACCTTCCCATCCCCCACCTTCCCATCCCCCACCTTCCCATCCCCCACCTTCCCATCCCCCACCTTCCCCATACACCAACAGCGCCAGCAGTCTCACCTGCGCCATGCGCCAGGGTCAGCACCTGCGCCCGAATCTGGGCGCGTCTCTCCTCCTAAGCCTCGGCTTTCCCACCCTCTCCTGAGTTCACTCAAAGAACAGGGGTTCTCACCTGTGCCGTGCGCCAGGTCTCACCTGTGCCGTGCGCCAGGTCTCACCTGTGCCGTGCGCCAGGTCTCACCTGTGCCGTGCGCCAGGTCTCACCTGTGCCATGCGCCAGGTCTCACCTGTGCCATGCGCCAGGGTCAGCACCTGCGCCACGAATCTGAGCGCGTATCTCCTCCTGGGCCATCGCCAGTAGATGGTGCACGCCACCCGTGGCTTTCCAGCACCGCACCCCTCTCTCACCCATACACCAACGAGCAGGGGTTCTCACCTGTGCCATGCGCCAGGGTCAGCAGCTGCGCCACGAATCTGGGCGCGTCTCTCCTCCTGGCCCATCGCCAGTAGATGGTGCACGCCACGCGGGCGGCAATGGCCAGTAGCACGTCGACACGTGTCGCATTGGAGAGCAGCGGAGCAGAAGGCTCTACGGCAGAGATTGAATCCGGGGCAACAGAGGAGTCCAAGTGCACTGCTGAGTCGATGATTTGGAGAAGAGATGCCGCTGCTTCAGGGCCCATTGGGAGGGTCACTAGAAGGGACTCTAGTGACCAGTCGAAGAGCTCGAGTGAGTCGACGTCCGTTCCCGTACCCTCCTCGTTCACAGCCTGTGGTGAGCAGTGGAAGGGGGTTGAGAAAGGGGGAAAGGGGGGGTGGGGGTGGGGAGGGTGGGATGGCGAAAGAAGTGAAAGGAGAGGGAAGATGGGGCAGCACGGGGTGGTTGGGGTTTCTCTTTTGAGGCGCCTCAAAAGCGATTTCTCTTCTCTCCAGCATGCACCGGATCGCCTTCCACCCCAGTGACCCCGTGCCCCCCCGTGCCTTGTGCCCCCCCCTGCCTTGTGCTCCCCCCTGCCTTGTGCCCCCCCTGCCTTGTGCCCCCCCTGCCTTGTGCCCCCCCGTGCCTTGTGCCCCCCGGTGCCTTGTGCCCCCCGTGCCTTGTGCCCCCGCCGTGCCTTGTGCCCCCCCCATGCCTTCTGCCCCCCCGTGCCTTGTGCCCCCCCGTGCCTTGTGCCCCCCCGTGCCTTGTGCCCCCCCGTGCCTTGTGCCCCCCCCGTGCCTTGTGCCCCCCCGTGCCTTGTGCCCCCCCCGTGCCTTGTGCCCCCCCCGTGCCTTGTGCCCCCCCCCCCTGCTCCCTGGTGCTTTGTCCAAATGCTGTGCCTTTCAGGTGCGTACTTACCAGGTGGGTATTCAGCACGGCCCGCACCCACACGGCGGGCAGCACGGGGTGGTTGGGGTTGCGCCTCTCCAGCATGCGCCCTATGGCCTTCCACGCCAGTGACCCCGTACCCCCTGGTGCCTTGTCCAAATGCAGCAGCAGCGCCGCCATCGCCGCGTCCCTCTCCTCCCTCTCCTGCTGTGCGTCTCTGCTGCTGCTTTCCTTGCCCTCGCTCGCTCCAGGTTCAAGTGTGCCTTTGGAGTCGGACACCACTGAGTTCCCCTGCTGATTAACAGCAGCCTCAGTAGCAGTAGTGCCATAACCAGCAGCACCAGCAGCACCAGCACCAGCCAATTCAGCTACAAGCAGGCCAGCAGACACACCACCACCGTTCGCATCAGATGCAGCAGCAGAACAAGCCGAGCCAGGAGAACCAGCAGCATCACGAGAGTCGGGGGGTGCTGCAGCAGCCACCCTCGCCTCCTCTCTCTCCCGGGCCACTTCGGCCACAAGGCATCTCAGGATGATGCAAGCACACACGTCCGTGTGGCGCTCGTGCTGCTGCCGCACGCCTTCGCTGTCCAATGACAGGTGCCGGCTGAGTCTAAGGTATGCCTCTGCCAGATCCCGCACCCACGGGATGGTGGGGGCCGCTTCAGAGTCTGGGATCATGGGGATGATGTTCTTGGGTAGGTGGTTTGTGGATGCCGTAGTGGTGGCTGCTGCTGCTGTTGCTGTGTCGGCATCAACAGCGGTGGCAGCAGCAACAGCAGCAGCAGCAGCAGCAGTGCCTGTAGCAGTGAACCCGTTGGGAAGAGAAGAAGAGGCAGGCAGGGAAGCAGGACAGGAGAGAGGGGGAGGCGAAAACAGCTCCGTCCCAACCCCATCCTTTTCCCTCATCCCCCCTCCACTCAGGCTCCTGGGGGGTGGCCTGGGAGCAGGCTCGGGCCAAGCCTCCGGGAGAGCCTCGGGAAGCACCAGCAACAACTGGTCCATGAGGGCATCGCAGAACCTCCTCACATACGCCGATCTAGAAGCCTCGGTTGGAGCCTGTGTCAGCGCCGTTTCAGCCACCCCAACCACTCTCTGTATCCGCCTCCGCACCGGCTCGACCCCCCTCGGGCCCACCGTCCTCCTTATAACCTCTTTACAGTCCGCTTCAGTAGCGTACACGCTCCCCAGCACGCGCACCCGTGCCCGATACCCCGCCTCCTCGCACCCCATCTCCTCCAGGAATTCAGCAATCTCTGCCACGTCATCCGGCCAGAGGCTCGGGAGAGACTGCATGGCGACGGCAACAGCTAGGGCGAGGATCCCTGGGCCCAGGTGCAACCCCCCCTGGACGCTGCCGTGGGTCAGATACAGCCTGTCCAGATGTGCACATTCGATTGGGTTCATGCCGTTGGTTGCTGCTGTTGACTCCACCAGTAGCACCTCTGCCAGCTCAGCCAGTCTGTACGGCCCCCTTGCTTCAGATGAAACCTGCTCAGATACCACCTGCTCGGACGCACCCTTCGCTGTAGGGTGAGTCGGGGGAGCAGAGAGGGTGGGCGATGCAGGCGTTATAGGCGTAATCGGCACGGCCGTTACAGGCGTCATCGGGAGGTGGAAGGAGGGCTGGTTGCGGCAGGAGTGGTGGAGGTGGTGGGAGTGCAGGTGCAGCAGGTCCAGCAGGCACGACACGATGAACTGCCGGCACGACTTGTCCACCGCGTACCGCTCCATCTCGCCCTCCACGTTCACCAGCTCCATCCTCCCGCTGCCGAACCTCCCCCCGAGCTTAACCCCGAGCCTTTCCCCGAGCCTGTCCCTGCTGTTGCGGTCGTTGGCAAGCCTGTCGGGTTCGTCCTGAGCCTCTTGGCATACCTCCTCCCCTACCGCCTCCCCTACCGCCTCCCCTATCTCCTCCCCTACCGCCTCCCCTACCCCCTCCCCTCCGTCGTTCCCCTTCCCTTGTGCGCCCTGCTGCTTCTCAGCCTTTCCTTGCGCCCCTCCCTCGGGCTCCCGGCCCATCTGCACGTTGGCCTCACCCTCTACTGATGCGTCATTGTCACACCCGTTATAGGGACCTCTCTGTTTAAGCACCTCTGGCAGCAGCACGCATCCCCCTTCCTGCCCTGCCGCTTCCTCCTCCCTAACCTCCCCTCCTTCCCCTCCTTCCTCCTCTCCCTCCTCCCCCTCCTCCCCCTCCTCCCCCTCCTCCCCCTCCTCCCCCTCCTCCCCCTCCTCCCCCTCCTCTCCCTCCCCTCCCTCCAAGTCACTCTCGTCACTCCCCTCCTCCACCCTCACAAAAGGCCGAGTCTGGCCGACCATATCGAGCACGCGCAGAATACAAAGCGCCATGCTGACAGGCTGGCGGTCGGCCAGCGACCCTGCAAGCCCCAGCATCCTCGCCACGTCAGCATAGCTTGGCACATCCGTTTCAGTCCCATCCAATAAAAGCACATCTTGCACCAGCTTCTGCTGTAATCCGTTTCTAGTGGTCGATCTCCACCTCCTCCTCCCATGCCCCGCAGCGCTCGCATTACTTCTTAAGCTCCTGCCCGAAACCGACCCGTCCTCGCTCGGGCGGGACGAGAGCGTCAAGCTGCCCGAAAAACTCCGGAGCATGCTGCCCGCTACAGTGGTCATGTCAACCGTGGGGAGGAGACTCAGAGTGCTAAGGCTGCTCGTGCTGCTGCTGTCGATGGTTGACGCCGCCGATCGGGTCCGGTTGCGAGGTGGAAGAACCGACGATGATGATGATGGTATGGCGCTGAAACTGCTGCTGCCCATGCCGCCTAAGGGGGACATGCTTGTAGTCCATGCTGACATGCCAGTGCCACTATAGCCGGCCCCGGGAGTGCCGCTCGCTGCTGGCGTAGATGCTGCAGGTGCAGCAGCAGCAACCAGGAAGCTGTCAGTGGCACCAAAGCCGGAAGTGAACCAACTGGTTGAGGTACTGCCCACTGCATCAACGCCCCTAAGCGCTCCAGAGCCAACAGCACCAGCAGCAGCAGCACCAGCAGCAGCAGCAGCAGCAGCAGCAGCCCCTGCCTCTCCTGCCCTTCCTTCCCCTCCTTGTGGCACTGAGCCACTCTCCTTGCTGCTCCTTCTCTTGCCTCCTTTCACCGTGCGGGACGGCAGAGAGGACCGCCGCTTTGGCTGGCTCAAGGGGCTGGTGATGGCACTGGAGGTGGCAGCAGCAGTGGTGGTTGCGGCAGCAGTGGTGGTTGCGGCAGCAGTGGTGGTGATGGTAGCACCTGCAGCGGTAGCAGCAGCAGATGCACCCGACGCACTGAAAGAACCACCACCTGAGCCAGGAGAAACAACAGAAGCCGCACCTGAAGCAGCAGAAACACCTGAAACAGCAGAGACGCACGAGGCTCGCCTCTTATGGCCAAGAAACCCCCTCGCCTGGACGGCCTCCTCTCTCTCCTCCCACGCGCGCCCTGCCGCCCGACACAGGTCCTGCCACTGTTCGTACTCCCGCTCTCTAAGGCTCTCCCTGAACCACCCCCCCGCGGCGGGCGGGGGGAGTGCTGGGGACGGCGGAACTGAGGAAGGGGGAACCGGGGAAGGGGGAACGGTCGCTGTTGCTGAAATAGTTGCTGGTGCTGTTGCTGCTCCTTCTGTTCCCGCTCGTTCAGTGGGCGCAGGTACAAAGACACGCTCCGCCCCTGCAGCACCTGGCGTGACACCTGAAGCATTGATGCCGTCAGGTGCCTCAGGTGCCTCCTCAGGTGCCTCGGGTGATTCGGGCGCCGCCTCAGGTGCTTCAACGATGTGGTCTGCCACGATGACACTTCCTACCTCCTGCTTCGCGTCCTCCTGTGCCTCGTCCTCCTGTGCCTCGTCCTCCTGTGCCTCGTCCTCCTGTGCCTCGTCCTCCTGTGCCTCGTTAACCCTCTTCCCACCCGCGCCTTTCACTTGCCGCTCTGTTTCCCCAGGACGCTCGCCCCTCCCCCCTCTCTCCTGTTCCCCCTCGTCCTTCTCTCCCCTGATCTTCCCCTCACCGCATCCCCCTTCCCCTTCCCCTTCCCCTACCGCCAGGACAATGCTCACCCGCTTCCGCTCCTTAGCGGCTCCGCCTTCCGCCTGTGCGGACCTAGGAAGCGTAACAGCAGGCACAGGCGCAGCGCCTGCCCCCCGCCCGCGCCCCATTTCCCCCTGGCCGGCGCAACCTCCCCCCCGCGCCAGAGCATCGTGCGCGGGGAGCCCAGGGACCTCCGCCGCGCCCGGGGCGCTTCTAGGGACGCGCTGGGGTCTTCCCCCCACTGCTCCCAAAACTCCATCCAGAACGCCATTCCCACCAGCAGCGCTTCCTCCATTCGCTCCACACTTAAGTAAACACCGCTTTCCGCCCCCTCTCCGCTGGTGGTAACATTGCGCCCATCGGGCGCATCTCCCGCAGGGCTGCGCGCGCTGGCCCAGTAGCCACCGCGGGCTCCCCCTCCCCCTCCGCCTCCGCCTCCGCTTCCGCTTCTTTCGCCGAGCTCCGCGCCGTTCCCCCCCCCGAGCTCCGCGCCGAGCTCCGCCGCCTCCTCTATCCGCTCCACCAGGCGCTGATACTCCGCCTCCGCGCGCGCTTGCATGTCTAGGAGCCCCGCGCGGATGACGTCATCCGTCCCGCCCAGGGGAAGCAGCAGCGAGCGCGAGCGCGGAGTCAGCGGCTGCGGGTGCACGAGGGGGAAGTACGGCGGGGGGAGCGCGCGCGTGCGCGGGGAAGGAGAGGAGGTGGAGGAGGCGGAAGAAGCGGAGGAGGAGGAGGAGGCGGAAGAAACGGGCGCGGAAGCGTGAATCAAACGGGGGGAATAGGTGGAAAACTCCGAGGATGGGGAGAGAGATGGGGAGGAAAGCCGGTCGAGGAAAATAGAAAGCAGCCCCGGAAGCGCGTCGCCCGGCGGGATTTGCGCCATGATTTGGCGCGCGCGGAAGAGGCCGCCATTAACGGGCGTGAAGGGGCCGAAGTGATGCGGGTTATTGGAGAAGAGGTCGGAGGGGGACAGGCAGATGGGCCAGAGCTGAGGCTGCGGCTCCTCGTGTATCGGCTGCGCGGAAAGCGCCTGCCCCATGGCTGTACCACGGTGCGACGTAAGCAAGAGGACTATAACGGGTACGTACGTGACGTAAAAGAGAGCGCGAGGGAGTTTTGACGATCAGCCTAGAATGAAACTACTAGCGGGCAAAGTGGTCCGGGGTTGTTGGAGAAGAGGTCGGAGGGCAACAGGCAGATGGGCCACAGCTGCGGTTGCGGCTCCCGGCGTATTGGCTGCGCGGAACGCGCCTGCCCCATTTTTAGGAATGACGAACGGCTCCAAGGTAACGAGACCTTCAGGTAGGTAACGAGACGGATAATAACGGGTATAGGCCGTAAAAAGAGCCTGGAGAGTGCCGTGACGTTCGGTTTAACAATCGACAGGGTACACGAGATGAAGGACGGACGGCAATGCGACTGTCGGCTAGCACCGCGAAAGCGCGCTAAAAGGCTACGATTCGATGGATTCCGCAGACTCCAAGGAATAAAGCTCCCCGAAAGACGGTCACGAAAGGAAGCAAAAGAACGAGTCGCCACGGGTGAAATTATTACGTCGCATCGTGCCGCGTGCAGGTTCCATGGGAGGACAGAGTGAGCGAGCCGCGCGCAGAGAGCTGCGCGTCTGCGCGACGATTCCGCGTCTACTAAGAGGTTCCAGCGGAACGTAATAGGAGAGCCGCGTGGAATGGACGGACGAATGGACGCATGGACGGATAGAAACAGAAGTCGACGGCCGGGAAAGCGCGAAGGACGGTGGTAAGGCCTTTCTGAGCATCAAGAGAAAAGCTGGTGGTCGCAGTGGGCGGGGTGGGTGGCAGTGAAGGACAAGACGTTCAGCTGGTGTACTACTCGCGCGATTGGCTTTGCTGCTCTCACGCTCTTCCATGCGGCACTGGTGCTGCTTATGCGGGCGGGCCCTCTTCTCTGCTCTGCTCTGCTCCACCCTGCTTGGCTCAGCTGTGCTCTGCCCTTTGATAGGGGCTGTTTGTTTTTGGTCTGGGAGGGAGGTTGAATAGGGCTTGCGCTGCGTTGCGTTGTGAGCGGAAGCGCAGCGATCAAACGGGGCTAACCTAAGCGGGCAGGGGGGTGAAAAATAGGGGCTCGAATAAGCGGGGGTGCAGTACTGTGCGTGAAATGTGCAATGGATTGATGTGCGCTTGCCGTGCGGGGGCGAGCACCGCTCGAACGAACAACGCATGGTAACAGTTTCTCCGAGGGGCAGTTTTGTGGTGCCGCCCGAAAAAATACTTCGACGAGGGTTTCCTTGCCCAAACGCAACGAAAGCGGTCGAGTCTTCGTTGATTGGGTCCCCCAGCTCCGGATCAGCAAGGTCCAGGCTGATGAAAAGGCTTGTTCCGGAGTATCCCATATTTGTGGAAAAAGGTTATGGTGTATTAAACTATTTCCCTGTAGGACCAGGGTCCAAATGAGGGGAACCAGACATTTGGAAGGATGAAGCTGGAACAGTGTGCATACCTAAAGATAGCAATCCCGAATTGTCTGATGTACAGTGACAAAAAAAATCGGATTCCCACAGTGAGCTGCTTGTTGAAGGGGTAAGGGACGTCAAACTGAGTTCGAAAAAAAAGTGTCTGGGTTCCGTACCACGTAGAGCTCTGTTCGGTCACCGCGATTCGGATGAAAACACATGAACTCAACAACTGAACGGTAGATCTTCATGAACAGAACTCGCAAGGGTAACTACCCTGCCAGCGTTATATCAATACATTGTAAAACCACGTCAGCTCGCACGCTAGCCATTATGAGGCATCTTGAACATGGGCATCCAGGGTGGCAGCCAAAGCAGCCACGTGAGTAACTTCGATTGAGCACACCCCGTTGCTAGTTACGTCTCTTGTCAATACACGGGTAAGTATCATAAGCCATATCATATGCACTTTACTTTCCAATTACACGAAGGAGCTATTTAATCCTCACTACAAGTACGAAACAGGACGTGCGTTACAGAATAACAAAATCAAGTCGCGATGATGGTCGAACCGCACGATTAACAGGAGCCCCCGTGATCTGGACGGTGAGCGACATGCAGCGGTACCCTCGCGCAGTGCCACGTCAATATCGACGAACCATCCCAGAAGCATTTAGGGCGTGTGCCGCGCATAGGTTTCTCGCCCATACCCTACCCAGCCGTTTTTGAACCTTTTTACATAGAGAGCATCTCACCCAACCGCAATCGAACATACGCGCAGAACAGCCCATAGTGGTCAATCCGCTCCGCAGCCCGCTTCTCTGTCAAACCAGTCATAGTATTCTAAGCATAATTGCGTACTATGTTCTTCCCACAGCACTACACCTCTACCATCCCACTTTACGGTGGTCGCTGAAATTCGCTACTCTTTGACACGTCTCGAGTAACTGTGACTCTTTACGTGACCGCCGGTTTTCTGTATGTGGGCTAGACGCTTGTGGTCTTAGCCGCACCCGGACATTTCACAGCGTCTGTTGATCGCTTGAAGCCCATGTGCTTGTACAGATTTCGCCGAAACTCTTTCCAGGAGTTATTTTCCCAGCTTCGTTGACCATTGAATCTTCTTACGGTCGTCCGGTCCTTGCTTCATCCATCTTGCTTAAATTAAGCTTGGCTAGCAGGGGCAATGAACCTCAAACGAGTCATTATAGATTAAAGCGAGGATGACGTCGAGGCAAGAGCCATCGATCGCGACTACTCGCCTTCAAATAGCAACCGTACGATCTAGTGAAAGAAGAGACGTTTGACGGTTAAGATGGCGAAGGTGTATCAAGCCTGGAAGGGCGACAACGTGAGTCGCATCTCAGTGCCTTTCTTTGCATTTCATTTGCATTTCTCTGTCTTCTCGTCAGCGTTTCATGGTATTTTCATCGTCAATTCATTGTGTCTTTGTCATTTCACTCTCTTTCGTTGTCATTTCACTCTCTTTCGTTGTCATTTCACTCTCTTCCGTTGTCATTTCGCTCTCTTTCGTTGGCATTTCACTCTCTCTTTATTGTCTCTCCCTTTTCACCCCTCAATCGTGTCTCCTGTTCTTTCTATTCCGCTTTGCCTTCATTTTTTAGACTGTTCAAAACTAACCTACTTTACCACCGCTTTGTATTCCGCCTGTTTCGCCTGGAATACAAAGAAAGGGCGGCATTGTTTGTTTCGCCTGCCTCATCCCTCAATTGTGTCTCTTGTTGTTTGTTTGTATTCGGGCTGGAGACGACTGGAATACCAAGAAAGGGCGGCATTCTTTGTTTCGCCTTCCTTTCCCAATCATTCCTGTCTCCTGCCTTCCGTGCTTCCAGGAGACTTCTCAAAACCCACCCTCGTGTATATCCTGTAACACTCTCGCATTCCCCCTCTCTTCGCTTGTCCCTCCCAGGTTTTCCTGTGCTGCAGCGGCCGCATGGTCTTTAGAATTATCAAGAACACCCTGTGTTTTTAAGAATTCTCACAACCACCCTGCAAAAACACCCTGCAAAAACACCCTGTGCTTTTTCAATTGTCAAAAGCCCCTCGCTTGTCCTCCCCAGGTCTTCCTATGCTACGGCGGCTACATCCTCCTCAGTCCTGATGTCCGCTTGCTGGTGCTCTCTCCCCATCTTTTTTTCATCTTTCTCCTCAGCTTTCTCCTCACTTGCTCCCCCCAGGTTTTCCGGTGCTACAGCCGCTACATCTTCGGTCCCAATGTCCGCTCGCTCGTGCTCTCGTAGCTCATCGTCCTTTCATCCTTCTGTCATCTTCCTCCCCGTCTTTCTCCCCCCAGGTTTTCCTGTGCTACAGCCGCTACAGCCGCTACATCTTTGGTCCCGATTTCCGCTCGCTCGTGCTCTCAATCCGCGAAGGTCTCCCATGGAAACGCTTGCGAGCCATCGGGGGGAAACTCTTCTCATTGTAGCGAGGTGACTTTTGAGTCGAATCAAAAGTCACCTCGTCATACTGGGGAGGATACTCTTCTCATTCTTCTCCTCATCCTTCTCCGCCCCAGGTCTTCTTGAGCTTCGGCCGCTACATCTTCGGTCCCGATTTCCGCTCGCTGGTGCTCTCAATCCTGCTCACCCTCCTTTCATATTTCTTTCCACCTCCCCCCCCCCCCCTCCCCTCTCCATCCCAGGTCTTCCTGTGTTACGGCCGTTACATCTTTGGTCTCGATTTCCGCTCGCTGGTGCCCTCGTTCGTTCCTCCCCATCCTCTCATCTTTCTCTCTCCTCATCTCCCCCCTCCCCCCCCCCAGGTCTTCCTTTGCTACGGCCGCTACAAATTTGGACCGGATTTCCCCTCGCTGGTGCTCTCATTCCTGCTCATCCGCATACCGGGGATGCTCTTCTGTGTCGTTCTCTCTTTTTGAGGCGCCTCAAAAATAGACTCATCCGCATTCCACGGATACTATTCTGTGTCGTTCTCTCGTTCCCCCCCAGATCTTCTTGTGCTACGGCCGTTACATCTTTGGCCCGGATTTCCGCTCGCTGGTGCTCTCATTCCTGCTCATCCTCATACCGGGGATACTCTTCTGCGTCTTCGTGGCCGCCCAACTCGATGGGAAGCTTCCAGGAGGCATCGCGGTGCTGCCAGTTGCAATATGCTACATTGCATGGGTGAGTTGATGTGCCGAGGTGGGGTTCTTTCACACGTCTCAAAACTTTGAGGTGGTCAGATGAGGTGCTGAGGTGAGGTGGTGAGTTTGTTTGCCCCTCCGAACCAGACCCATGCATGCTGGGAACAATGCGGACGCTCAGGATGCCTCTGTGGTATCTCTCTGCACCCCTGTTCATCCTGGTCTTCATGGCGTGCAGGGATCTCGGGATTGTGCCTCGGAATCTGGTACCACTTGATGCCAACCCTGACATGCTGGAGGCGATGTGCTTGCAGGGCGTGGGCGCGGGCGTGGGCGTGGGCGTGGGGGTGGGTGTGGGTGTGCGCATGGGGGGGCGGTACAGCCTGCAGACAGTGATGCACGTGCTTGTGCACTCCCCCATCCCCCGCCCTCCCCCCCTCCCAGAACCTGTTTATTCTCCTCTTCACGGCGTGAAGGGGCCCTGGGATTGTCCCCCGGAATCTGGTGCCGCCTGACCCCGACCCTGACATGCTGGAGGCGATGCGCTTGCAAGGCGCGGGGGTAGGGGGGAGGTTCAGTCTGCCTAACATGCAAGGCATGTCTCAGACCCCTCTGCACCCCTCTGTGTGCCTCTGCACCCCTCTGTGTGCCTCTGCACCCTGCATTCCTCCCCACCCCAGAATCTGTTCATCCTCCTCTTTACAGCGTGCAGGGACCCCGGGATTGTGCCTCGGAATCTAGTGCCGCCTGACCCCGACCCTGACATGCTGGAGGCGATGCGCTTGCAGGGCGCGGGCGTGGGGGGGAGGTTCAGTCTGCCCAGGACCAGGGATGTGGAGATCAACGGGTTCAGAGTGAAAGTCAAGTACTGCGACACGTGTCTGCTCTACAGGTGGGTGCCTTAGTGTGAGGGTGTGTGGGTGTGAGGGTGTATGGGTGTATGGGTGTGTGGGTGTATGGGTGTGTGGGTGTGTGGGTGTGTGGGTGTATGGGTGTGTGGGTGTGTGGGTGTGTGGGTATGTGGGTGTGTGGGTGTGTGGGTGTGTGGGTGTGTGGCTGTGTGGCTGTGTGGGTGTATGGGTGTATGCGTGTATGGGTGTATGGGTGTATGGGTGTATGGGTGTATGGGTGTATGGCGGTGCGCTTGCAAGGCGTGGGCGTGGGGGGGAGGTTCAGCCTGCCCAGGACCAGGGACGTGGAGATCAACGGATTCAGAGTGAAAGTCAAGTACTGCGACACGTGTCTGTTCTACAGGTGGGTGCCTTAGTGTGAGGGTGTGTGGGTGTGTGGGTGTATGGGTGTATGGGTGTGTGGGAGTGTGGGAGTATGGGTGTATGTATGGGTGTATGGGTGTATGTGTGGGTGTATGGGTGTGTGGGTGTGTGGGTGTGTGGCTGTGTGGCTGTGTGGCTGTGTGGCTGTGTGGGTGTATGGGTGTATGCGTGTATGGATGTATGGGTGTGTGGGTGTATGGGTGTATGGGTGTATGGGTGTATGGCGGTGCGCTTGCAAGGCGTGGGCGTGGGGGGGAGGTTCAGCCTGCCCAGGACCAGGGACGTGGAGATCAACGGATTCAGAGTGAAAGTCAAGTACTGCGACACGTGTCTGTTCTACAGGTGGGTGCCTTAGTGTGAGGGTGTGTGGGTGTGTGGGTGTATGGGTGTATGGGTGTATGGGTGTGTGGGAGTGTGGGAGTATGGGTGTATGTATGGGTGTATGGGTGTATGTGTGGGTGTATGGGTGTGTGGGTGTGTGGGTGTGTGGGTGTGTGGGTGTGTGGCTGTGTGGCTGTGTGGCTGTGTGGGTGTATGGGTGTATGGGTGTATGGGTGTATGGGTGTGTGGCTGTGTGGGTGTATGGGTGTATGCGTGTATGGGTGTATGGGTGTGTGGGTGTATGGGTGTATGGGTGTATGGGTGTATGGGTGTATGGCGGTGCGCTTGCAAGGCGTGGGCGTGGGGGGAAGGTTCAGCCTGCCCAGGACCAGGGACGTGGAGATCAACGGATTCAGAGTGAAAGTCAAGTACTGCGACACGTGTCTGTTCTACAGGTGGGTGCCTTAGTGTGAGGGTGTGTGGGTGTGTGGGTGTATGGGTGTATGGGTGTGTGGGTGTGTGGGTGTGTGGGTGTGTGGGTGTATGGATGTATGGGTGTGTGGGTGTGTGGGTGTATGGGTGTATGGGTGTATGGGTGTGTGGGTGTGTGGGTGTGTGGGTGTGTGGGTGTATGGATGTATGGGTGTGTGGGTGTGTGGGTGTATGGATGTATGGATGTATGGGTGTGTGGGTGTGTGGGTGTATGGGTGTATGGGTGTGTGGGTGTGTGGGTGTGTGGGTGTGTGGGTGTATGGATGTATGGGTGTGTGGGTGTATGGATGTATGGGTGTGTGGGTGTATGGGTGTATGGGTGTATGGGTGTGTGGGTGTGTGGGTGTGTGGGTGTATGGATGTATGGGTGTATGGGTGTATGGGTGTGTGGGTGTGTGGGTGTGTGGGTGTATGGATGTATGGGTGTGTGGGTGTGTGGGTGTATGGGTGTATGGGTGTATGGGTGTGTGGGTGTATGGGTGTATGGATGTATGGATGTATGGGTGTGTGGGTGTGTGGGTGTATGGGTGTATGGGTGTATGGGTGTGTGGGTGTGTGGGTGTGTGGGTGTATGGGTGTATGGGTGTATGGATGTGTGGGTGTGTGGGTGTGTGGGTGTATGGGTGTATGGGTGTATGGGTGTGTGGGTGTGTGGGTGTATGGGTGTGTGGGTGTGTGGGTGTATGGGTGTATGGGTGTATGGGTGTATGGGTGTATGGGTGTATGGGTGTATGGGTGTATGGGTGTATGGGTGTGTGGGTGTGTGGGTGTGTGGGTGTGTGGGTGTATGGATGTATGGGTGTGTGGGTGTGTGGGTGTGTGGGTGTGTGGGTGTGTGGGTGTGTGGGTGTATGGGTGTATGGGTGTGTGGGTGTGTGGGTGTGTGGGTGTGTGGGTGTGTGGGTGTATGGATGTATGGGTGTATGGGTGTGTGGGTGTATGGGTGTATGGGTGTATGGGTGTATGGGTGTATGGGTGTATGGGTGTATGGGTGTATGGGTGTATGGGTGTATGGGTGTATGGGTGTATGGGGGTACATGGATAGGGGAACAGGGGGACAGGGGGACAGGGGGACAGGGGGACAGGGGGACAGGGGGACAGGGGGACAGTGGGACAGGGGGGAGGGAGGCTGAGCGTGGACCGAAGCAGGTGGGGTTTGTTTTCTTCCGAGTTTTGAGGCGCCTCAATAGCAATCATAGTCTAGCTTCTCTTCCCTCCCATCAGACCCCCCCGCTGCTCGCACTGCAGTGTGTGCAACAATTGTGTGGAGAGATTCTTGTCGTGAGGCTCCTACTATAGCAATCGTAGTCTTGCTTCTCTCCCCCCCCGCCCCCCTCTCCTCCCCTTCCTCCCAACAGACCCCCCCGCTGCTCGCACTGCAGCGTCTGCAACAATTGTGTGGAGAGATTTGACCACCACTGCCCGTGGGTGGGGCAGTGCATAGGCAAGGTGAGAGGAGAGTAAAGTTTTGAGGCGTCTCAAAACTCTCTTCATCACACAGGAAAGGTGAGAGGGGCGCATGGGCAAGGTGAGAGGGAGGGGCGCATGGGCAAGGTGAGAGGGAGGGGCGCATGGGCAAGGTGAGAGGGAGGGGCGCATGGGCAAGGTGAGAGGGAGGGGCGCATGGGCAAGGTGCGAGGGGCGCAGAGTGGATAAGCAAGGTGAGAGTGCATTCCCGACCATCCTGCCATTTGTTTTCTTCCCATACTCCCCAGTGGCTTCTCTCTTCCCCTTCTCCGCCCTCCTTCCCCTACTTCCGCCCGTTGCCCTCATGTCACTCTCCCTGTGCTCCCGCCATTGCTGCCCCTCCTCTGCCACTTTGAGACGTCTCAAAACACGTCTCTTATCACACTCCCTGTGCTCCCTCCATTGCCACCGCTCCTCCCCCCTACACCTCTCCCCCCCTTCCTCCTCCCACCCGTCTCACAGCTCATCTCCTCCATTTCTCCCCTGGCCCCCGTAGGTGATTTTTGAGTCGACTCGAAAATCATCTCCCCCCCTTCCTCCTCCCACCCTCACATCTCATCCCTTTCTCCCCTTGCCGCTGTCCCTCTGGATCACCCCCTCATCACCCCCTCCCCCCCATCCCCCCCCCATCCCCCCCCATCCCCCCCTCATCACCCCCCATCCCCCCCTCATCACCCCCCCCCCCCCCAATTACCCCCTCCCGCCCTCATCACCCCCTCCCCCTTTCCTCCTCATCCCTCCCCTCCTCATCACCGCCCTCCCCTTCCCCCCTCCCCCCTCTGTCCCCCCCAGCGCAACTACCGCTTCTTTTACGCATTCACCACGACCACCACGCTGCTCTGCCTGTTTGTCTTCGCCATCTGCGCCCTCTACATCAAGCTGCTCGTCGACAACGCCTACGAGCCCGGCGGAGAGCCCAGGACTCTGTGGCAGGCCATGGCAAAAGCTCCGGTGGCCGTGATTCTAATGGCGTACACGTTTGTGGCGGTGTGGTTCGTTGGAGGGCTCACGGTTTTCCACACATTCCTCATGGCAACCAACCAGGTGAGCCTTGAGTCGAACCCGGTGGAGAGCCCAGTACCCTCTGGCAGGCCATGGCGAAAGGTCCGGTGGCGGTGATTCTAATGGCATACACGTTTGTGGCGGTGTGGTTTGTGGGGGGACTAACGGTGTTCCACACATTCCTGATGGCGACCAACCAGGTAGGCAACGGTGTTGGGATGAATGAGCACCTATCCATGGCCAAGGCGCCTGTTACGGTGATTCTAATGGCATACACGTTTGTGGCGGTGTGGTTCGTGGGCGGGTTAAAGCTGTTGACCCAAATTGCAGAAATTGCGATTCAAGTTTATTAATCTTGAACCCCCCTGATCAGTAACCCAGTTCCCCAAAGCGAGAGCAAAAACCAAAGTCGCGCACCAAAACGACGGGAAGCAGTTGATAGTCTTGCGCCACCCCCAGCCGATTCCGCCCCTGCCCTTGTCACCATGCGTTTGAGGGGAAAGAAACTTGAAACGTCCGCCCATACATTTTGGGACTTACGAAGTGCAGCGAAAGCACCACACACATGAAACGAGAGTTTTTTTTAGGGCGTGGTACATCTCGGATCTAGTGAGATCCGAGAGTTGAACTCGCAAAATAATCCCTATCGAGCGCACTTAATCATTTTTTAAAACAGTATAATCGTCTACCACCGCCTTAAAAAATCGAACTTCCGTTTGAAACTTTCTTGTGATCTGAGTTGTACCACGCCGTGAGATGTGCAACGGGAGCTGCGCATTTCTTTCTGTCTGAACGCCAACTAGTTTGGCGATTTTTGGGCGAGTTGCGCAACTCGGCCAGGTTGCGAAACCCAGAGATATTGTACGCGTTCATGTCTCCCCCCCCCCTCCTCCTCCTCCCCCTCCGCGCCTAGTGCGGCCCACCCTTCCCCTTCTGTCGTTTTTTATTGGCAGTGGTTTTGCTTGTTTGTGTTTTTTTTGCCCTGATTGGTTTATGCGGTTTCGTCTTTAGTGTACTTGTCGCGTATGGTTTTTGCGACGTTCGCTCGTTGGCGAAGTACACTCGCCACCTCGCACCACAGCAAAATGCCCGTGCTCGCTGCCTGGCCCCACTTTTTGCCGGGTCATTATTAATACTCTTGCACGTTTTGGGCCACCGGCTTTAACGGTGTTTGACACGTTCCTGATGGCGACCAATTAGGAAGGCTGTGAGTTGTTAGTAGCGCTAACGCCTATGGCTGCGATTCTGATGGCGTATATGTTTATGGCGGTGTGGTTTGTGGGGGGACGGACAGTGTTCCATTCATTCCTGTTGGCGACCAATCAGGTGATCTCTTTTGAGGCGCCTCAAAAGTCGTCTCTTTATCCGCGGTTTCATTCCTGATCGTGACCAATCAGGTGACCTCCTTCTCACCTGATGTGACCTGGAATCAGCTTCTCACCGTATCCTCATTTTCGCTTTTGAGTCGACTCAAAAGCGTTTGAGTCGACTCAAAAGCTCCTGCTCACCTGATGTGACCTGGAATCAGGGTCTCACATTATCCTCATTTTCCTCTTTTCAATAACTCATTCTTCTCCTTTCTCAACATGTGTTTTGAGTCGGCTCAAAACACGCGCCTTTTGAGTCACAATCAGTTGACCTTTTTCTCACCGTGTCCTCGTTTTCCTCTTTTCAATAACTCATTCTTCTCCTTTCTCAACATGTGTTTTGAGTCGGCTCAAAACACGCCTTTTGAGTCACAATCAGTTGACCTCCTTCTCACCGTGTCCTCGTTTTCCTCTCTCCAACAACTCATTCTTCTCCTTTTTTTCTGAACGATTTTTTACCCACAATCTGCTCGTGTGCTTCTTCCCCTGCCCTGAATGTGCTACGAGAGAAAGACCAACCCCTACAACTTGTTCACTTTGGTATAATTTCACCAACCTCAACCCTCTTGTGTTTCTTCCCCTCCCACCAACCCCTCCGTTCTCCTCCCAACCAGACCACCTTCGAGAATTTCCGAATGCGCTACAAGCTAAAGAACAACTTGTTCACTTAGCTATCATTCCACCAATCTTACCCCTCTTGTGTTTCCTCCACTCATCAGACCACTTACGAGAATTTCCGAATGCGCTACAAGCGAAAGAACAACCCCTACGACCTTGGCACGCTGCGCAACTTCCAGGAAATTCTCTGCGGCCGGATCCCTCCATCCAAGATCGATTTTCAAGCCGAGGCTCCCCAGCCTGCCAAGCCCCCTGGGGCGACTTCCACCGTCTCTGCTGCTGCTGCTGCTGCTGCTGCTGCTGCTGCTTCAGGGGCAGCTGTTGCTTCTGCTGCTGTTACACCTGTTACCGCTGCAGACGCAGCTGCTACGGCTGCGCTGGATGCCAGCATGGTTACTGTTAACGGCGCTGTAACGGTTACCGGGTCTGGATATGGGAAATCAGAGGTGGATAGAATTAAAAGTGCTGCTGCTGCTCCTGCTGCTGCTGCTCCTGCTGCTGCTCCTCCTGCTGCTGCTGCTGCTGCTGCTGCTGCTGCTGCTGCTGCTGCTGCTGCTGCTGCTGCTGCTGCTGCTGCTGATGCTGCTGCTGCTGCCTCTGTTGGGGGTGCTGACAGTAGTGCTGCTGCTGGTGGGTGGATCACCGATGAGGGCGTGGGAAGCTCGTCATCCGCGTTTGAAGCAGCGTACGCAGCCCTGCTGGCGCAATACGCGCGGCATGGAGCGGGTGGTGAGGAGGAGGAGGAGGAGGAGGAGGGTGCTGGGGATGAGTGGTCGTCCCATCCTGATGTGCCTGCCGAATCATTCTCTGCTGAATACGCCCCGGAGGTTGCAGCCCCTCTGGAATCAGCCCCTGCTGAACCATCTGCTGCGTCGCTCTCTACTGCCCCTGCTCCTGCTTCAGCTCAGGCTAGCAGCGCCTTGCACTCGGACACTCACTTTCTAGGTGCTTCCTTCCCTCTAACACCTTCATCTCCAGCAGCAGACGCTGCCGCAGCAGCAGCAGCAGTATCACCAGCAGCATTGTCAACAGCACCACCACAACCAGCATCATCACCATCAGCAACAGCAGGGGCAGCACCAGCATCATCACCAGCAGCAGCAGCAGCAGCAGCAGCAGCATCACCAGCACCATCAGCATCATCACCAGCAGCAGCACCACCACCACAGGCAGAGCCAGAACCAGAACCAACATCATTCCCATCACCAGCACCATCCCCATTACCAGCACCATCACCATCACCAGCAGCATCACCTGCTCCACCTGCAGTGGCAGCAGCAGCAAGTGCAGCTGCTGCCCTACCATGCGGCATCCTCCTATCAGCCTCGCAAGGAATCACCCGACCCTCCTCCCGACCCTCCTCTCGCCATGCCTCGCCATCCCCAAGGCTCGGTTCTCGCCGAGCCTCCCCATCTAGAGGCTCCAGTGGGTGTTCTCCCCTCAGGGGGGTGTTTTCTTCGCCGTCCAGCAAAAGCCTTTCTTCTGGGTATGAGCTAGTGGAGGCTGTGGCATTTGCTGATGATGATGGTGGATTGGGAGCTGATAATATTATTCGTAACAGTGCTCTGGGCAGAGCAGCAGATAGGTAGGAGTTTTGTTATAAGCGAATGGATAATATGCATCTGAAGCTGGTTTTGTGTAGATTGGTGTTGAGTTAGTTTCTGTATAGATGCTGCTTTCACTAAGCAAAATCTGCATTGCCTTGGTTTGTGTCTATACTGGGGAAATTTCTGCAGCCTGTCAAGCTTACCTCGTGTCAGACAAGGGACGGCTATGATCTTCACACGTCAGCAAATACGCTGATGTGTACTGATCCCGACTGTCAACAACCTCGGGTCAGAGAACTCCCATTGCTGCAATACGACCGTTTGCCGGGGCGTTATCTTTGTCTACTTCTGAGCCACCTTCTATGGCAGGAACAACTTTTTCTGATGCTTTCTGAAGCAGGTCGAGTACGATATGGTCCATCCCATTTCAGATTTGCTTTTGTAGGCCGAACGAATCAGCCTTTCCAGAAATTCTCAGTGGCCCTCCCGGGCCGCTGAGGGGGTTTGGAAATAGTTTTCAACCAGCAATAGACGCGTCTCGGATAAACCTCATTAACTGCGTCATTGCCCCAAGCGCAAAGATACTCAATTCTTGCCGTTTTTGGAATTTATTTCAGCTTGTCGTTCCGTCAATTGTTGCTTCGTGGGTCGAGTTCTGGAGTTCAGCTGTCGTGGCAGAGCCTGGGGCAAGGATTCAGCACATCCTTCCCCTTCCACCCCCACTTCCTTCATCCTGCTTTCAGCGTGCCTCAGGGCACGTTACATCTGGTCCATGCGAGGTCCGGATCGATACCAAGTTCAGAACTCGGGATCAAGAAGCAGTCAATGTATTGAACCCGCAGATTGCAAACCCCGGCGACGGGTCTCGAGATTGTGGTATGTCACAAGGGCGCTCGACGAGCCCAGTCGCATGTTGTCGCTCAGCAGTTTGTAAACGAGTGCACATGTGGCATGACAAGGATTCACGAACCGCGGTTCGGTTTTGCCAGCCAATGCTAACTCCGTGCTGCGGACGACCTCATGTTTGCCCGAATTCGCGAAAGTGGTTTTGGTCGCCTTTTGTTTGGCGAGTCGCATTTGTCGCTGCCCAAATTTTTGCGCACGTGGGGTTTGTGAGAGCGGGGTTATGCCATTTGAACCGGAGATTCAAGCGATGAGCTGGCATGCTACTCGGCGTTAACGAAAGTGTGACAACTTGCGAAATTGTCACAAAGGGGCCCTAAACAAAACAAAATATTTCCTTATGAACCTGGCATGGACCAGATGTAACGCGCCCTCACAAACAAGGAATCACTCCCACCTGTCGCGTGGGCCTATTTCAGAACTACAAGCTTTCTTCCTGCACATCTTGTGCCGTTCGCGCTTCTTGTTATGCGACGGCTAGCACTCTGTTACGCGGCATTCTTGCACCTATCATGCGACCGCTACGCGACAGATGTACGACGTCGCTCATACGGCCTAGCGCAACTAAGATATCGTATAGTTGCAAGCCTGTAACCACAATGATAGACTGCGTTTTAGGTCACGAATTTCCTCAAGCCTCACTACCAGACGCTATCGCCTTTGTGGTTGCCGCCTGTCGCGTGTCGGGGCTGTTACCTTGTAATACCTTCGCACATTTTTTACTCGATTCGAATTCGCTGGAATTGTCAGCTACCCTTAAGATTTCTTTATGGTGGGGAGGTGGGGGTGGGAGTGGGGGCGGGGGGGGGAGGGGGGGTGGGGAGGAGGCGGCTGAAACATTAAGACAGAACGTTACTGATCGTCCCAAATGGAAATTGGGTCGCGATGAGGCACTTAAACTAGGGCTGATGCGCATTTCAAGGAATGATGCACACTAAGCCATCCGTGAAACCTTGGGGTTGCCATGGCGTCCCCTGGGGAAGAATATCCGTATCTGTTCAGGCCTCCCTCATGGCATCAGTTCGGCCCTCCTTCAAATGCACGGAAGGCTGGGTTGAGCGCGCTAGGTTCGCGTGACGCGTCTACGTACGGCAAGTTGCGGTGAACAGCGCTCTGCGCTGGTCCAGCTTGCGTCGTGGGGTCGAGGCTCGACGGATCCTGTCGGGTCGAGAGCCGAGACCCATGGCCGTCCTCACTTGCGGGCGAGGCTGGGTTTGAACTTTGAGCCCATTAGGTCCGCGTGACGCGTCTATGGCAAGTCGCGGTGAACACCCACCTGCCATGGAGCTCTCGGTGCCACGGCCGTCTCTTCTCCATTCTCCTGCCATGGAGCTCTCGGTGTGATTAGTGATTTCAGTTGCTGGACGCTATTTCAGCAGACTCAACATGAGGAAATGGTTGCTGGAGTGAGAGGCTGTTAGTGCATAAGGAACCCAGAACTGAATTACTCATGGTGCCTCATTAGACTGGTTCTAGTAAAAGCCTGTGCAACGCTGGGTCTGGTTTGAGTCTCGCACAAACTGCAGCATGAAGCATCAATACTGGTATGTTAGAAGCTACAAGGTGGTACAACGAAGGAGGCAGTCGCGTGGCTGTTGCGAATTCACTTGCTCTTCCAGCAATCTTACATCTACAGACTACAATCCAGTCTGCATTCACAACATTCCAACTTCTCTACACGTCAGCTGTTGATTGCCTGCAGAGCTCTCATAGATTCAGCAGGAACTTGTGTTTTCCTCCACTGCATGTCCAAGACTGTATCCCCTTTATAAGTAGCACCGTTTCAAACGTCACCAGCCTTGACCATGAGAGTGTAGTTCCTGGTCGGGTCGAAGCACTTGCGATACACAAAGTACCCAGCTCCCAGCAGCACCGCTGTTAGTGCGGTAACCGCCACAAAGGCCGTAACGCCTGTCAGCACCAGCTTCCCTCCTCCCCCTCCCCCTCCCTCCTCTGTGTCTGACTCCCCTTCCGGCTTGAACTGTGCCTGCAGCTTTGATGTGGTGTGAGAGAAAGAAAAGGGGGGCGGGGGGGGTGGGGGGGGTGGGAGGGGGGGGGAGAAGGGATGAGCCAGGGTGTCTGGTCCTACACCTCTTGACTTATCGCCACCCTCTTGGCCAATCTAACCACCCTCCTCTGTGTCTGAGTCAGCTCGGGATTGAACTGCGCCTGGAACTTTGTGACGGGAAGGGTGTGCACGTAGCGGAATCAGACACAGCACGGGGGAGGGGGAAGGGGAGAGAGGGGAGGAGTAGGGGAGGGGAGGGGAGGGGAGAGAGGGGAATAGAGGGCCCCGCATATACCTGTGCCAGTCGCGCCAGCGTCTCTTCCAGCTGGCTTGTGTCAATCACCCCGCCCACATGCCCGCCCTGCTGCCATACCATCCCACAAACTCACCTGAACCCGTGCTACCATATCATCCCTTGAAGAGTCACATCTGTACCTTTACACCTCTCTGGCACTCACCTGTACCTGGGCCGGTCCCCTCACCCTTCTGAACCCACCTGTACCTGGGCCAGTCGCGCCAGAGACCCTTCCAGCTGGCTCGTGTCAGTCACCCCGCCCACATGCCCGCCCGGCTGCCATACCATCCCACAGGCCCACCTGAACCGCTCTGAACCCCTGAAGTGTCCCATTCGTACCTTTACCCCTCTCTCGCACCCACCTACACCTGACCTAGTTCACCCACCCTTTTGCACCCACCTGCACTTGGGCCAATCATCCCCCCACCCCTCTGCACCCACCTGTACCTGGGCCAGCCGCGCCAGCGTCTCTTCCAGCTGACTCGTGTCAATCACCCCGCCCACATGCCCGCCCTGCTGCCCCAACAGCCCCACCAACCGCCCACACTCCTCCCCCAGCTTCTCCCTCGGCTGCTCCAACAAACACTGCCCCACCAGCCCCGCTTCCCCCACCCCTTCCTCCGCCTTCCCAGCACTCCCTGCTCCCCCCGCTCCAGTGCGGTTTGCACAGAGCGAGTCAACCACTGCGTTACACGGCTTCACTAGATCTGCCTCTCGGTGGTACATCCACAGGGCCATCCGCACTGCATAGGCAGTCTCAGTCAGGCATCGCCCGGTGAGGTTCGCCTGGTGGTCCACAAGGCACTGCAGCACGAGCGAGTGGCCCTCCTTGCCTTCGTCTATCCCCCGGCAGAGCGCGTCCACGTCGCCCTGGCACTGCTCTGCCAGGGCCGCGTCGAGCTTGTAGTAGGACGACTGGCGGAAGGTCTGCAGATCGACCTCGGCCTTGCATGCCACTGACATGCCGACCTGATGAAAGGTAGGGAGCAGCCCCGGGGGGGAGAGGGGGATGTGTTGGGTGAGGAGTGAGAAGAGTGTGGCAGGGGGTGTCCACATCGCCCTGGCACTGCTCCGCCAGGGCCGCATCGAGCTTGTAGTAGGATGACTGGCGGAAGGTCTGCAGATCCACTTCGTCCTTGCATGCCACCGACATGCCGACCTGTGTGGGTGACAAGAGGAAGGGGGAGGAGTAGGTGTGAGTAGGAAAAACGTGAAAGAAGACAGAAAAAACCTACGCCCTTCTGGCACTTACCATCTCGTTCCCTTACGTTCGTTCCTGTCCGGAAACAGGAACCACGCCAAAATACATTTCCAACCACATAACACCACCAACCTCACCTGGTTACCAGCAGTGGCTCACCTGCCGAGACCCCTTGTGGGCTTTTGAGTCGACTCAAAAGTCACCTCGAGACCCCTTGTGGGCTTTTGAGTCGACTCAAAAGTCACCTCGAGACCCCTTGTGGGCTTTTGAGTCGACTCAAAAGTCACCTCGAGACCCCTTGTGGGCTTTTGAGTCGACTCAAAAGTCACCTCGAGACCCATTGTGGGCTTTTGAGTCGACTCAAAAGTCACCTCATGGCAACCTGCTCTCATGGGCCGTGCCATGGCATGGCAACCGCACATTATTACCATCCATTAACTTGCTTTTAAATGTCATGTCTGACCTCGTTGATGCTCATCTGCAAGCAGCCGAAGGCCAGCCCAGCAGTGGGCTGCACATATTAGGGTGACCTGTATCACACATGGTTACCATGTAACACCAAGCTCACCTCGTTGATGCTCATCTGCTGGCAGCGGAATGCCAGCCCAGCTGTGGGCTGCACTCCTGGCAGGCAGTGCACCATATGCAACACCAAACCCAACCCTCAGTACCCACCTCGTTGATGCTCATCTGCAGGCACCGGAAGGCCAGCCCAGCGGTGGGCTGCACGCCGCGGCAGAAGTGGTTGAGCTCCAAGCCGCACGCGTTCATCAGGGTGGGGGTAAGGCGGATGTCCGATGCCTGGAGAAAGGGAGGGGGGAGGGGGAGGGGGGGAGGGGAGGGGTGGGGAGAGGGAGAGGAGAAGGTAGGGAAGTGTGAATGACGAGCGAGAGGCACGGGTGGTTGAGCTCCAAGCCGCAGGCGTTCATTAGGGTGGGGGGCGGACGGATGTCAGACGCCTGGGGAGGAGAAGGAAGGGATGGGAGGGGATTAGGGATGGGACTTGTGTGCTGGCAGAAGTGTTGGGCCCCAACCCGAGGCCACACGCGTTCATTAGGGTGGACGAGCGCTAATGAGGGGGGAGTTTTGGAAGGGATATATGTAGGCTAGAACGAGAGAGAGAGAGAGAGAGAGAGAGACGCAGCGAAAACGGTGTCGGTGCAGGGCCGTCGGGAATGTGTTTTGAACATCTCCGCGACGCAGCCCTCGCGAACGCCTCCGTCGCCCTCAATCTCCACGCAGTAGCACAGCTCCTCCTAAAAGGGACTGCCACACCAGAAGTCGCGGAGCTCCTCACAGCCAGCCGCCTGCTGGCGTTTCCGAAGCCGCAGGGAGGCACGCGCCCAATCGCAGTAGGCGAGTGCCTCCACCGCCTGGTGGCAAAAGCGGGCCTCGCTGCCATGAACGAGCCCGCCCAAAGCCACCTCCTCCCACTGCAATTCGGCGTGGCAGTGAAAGCCGGAGGCGAAGCGATAATCCATGGCGCAAGGGCTTTCGCCACGGAATTCCCGTCCGCCCTCCTGCTCCAGGTCGACCTATCTAACGCCTTCAACAGCGTCGACCGTGGGGCCATCATAACGGGACTCTACAACTCCCCTCTTCGCCCCCTACTCCCCTTCGTGCGCCTATCCTATGGCGCCCCCTCGACCCTCTTCCTGGACGCCGGCTTCAACAGCCCGCCCCTCCTCAGCGCTCGTGGCGTCCGGCAAGGGGATCCCATGGGACCCCTTCTCTTCGCCGCCGCCATGCACCCCGCCCTGCGAGAGACCGCCCAGGCGTACCCCAGCGTCCTCTGCCTGGCGTACGCCGATGACATAACCCTGATGGGAGAGCCAGCGGCATGCACCGCCGCCTTCGCCCATCTCACCCACGCGCTGCTCCCACTAGGCCTGACCCATAATCCGGCTAAGTGCGCGGCATGGTCCACGGCCCCTCCCCCCCCGACCTCCTCCCCCCGGGAATCCCCTTCTGCGCCTCCGGGTTGCGGATCTTGGGCAGCCATATCGGCCCACCAGACGCAGCGGCCAGTTTCCTGCGCGAACAGCTGGCCGCGATGGCCAAGCCTCTCCCCACCTTAGCGGCCATGGACCCCCAGTCCGCCAGCCTCCTCCTCCACCGCTGCGTCTCTCGTCGAGTCTCCTACCTGACCCGCACGACGCCGCTAAACCTGCTGCCAGCAGAGGAGTGGTCCCAGTGGGGACAACAACTCTACCACACCCTCCTGAGGGCGTGCAACCTCCAGCCCCCGCGCGGGGATCATGAGAGGGCGCGCACGTGGCAGCAGGCCTCCCTCCCCCCCTCCCTCGGTGGGCTCGGGCTGACAGACCCCGCAGTCGAGGGGCCACACGCCCTCCTTACCAGCGTAGCCCACGCCCAGCGGCTCCTGGCCTCCCTCGCCAAGGACCCTTCCAGCCCCCTCGGGGCAGTGGCCCGCTCCCTCACACCACCCTACGCCAGCCCCACCCCCCTCCACTCCTGGCTAGCCGAATGCGAAGCGGCGCTGCCAGCTCCCGCCCGGGAGCTACTACGAGCCGAGCTCACGGAACCATCAGACGCCCCGCTCCAGCACCGCATCGCCCTGGAAGTCCATGCAGCACGGTTCGCCGAGCAGCTGGAGGCGACCAGGACAATGGAGCTCAACCCCCTCAGCGGTCACACTCAGCGGCTCCTCTCCCTCACGGGGTATGGGGCTGGGGACTGGCTCCTAGCAATCCCCCTCTTCCCCTCCCTCAGGCTGGCACCCCCTCACTTCGCCATAGCCCTCGCCTTCCGCCTGGGCCTCCCCTTCCCCACACCACGAGTTTGCAACTGCGCCAAGAAGGTCCAGATCCCGGACCCACGGCTCCCCAACCACCTGTTCCGTTGTGGGACAGGGCACGGGCGCACCGATACCCACAACGCCCTCAGGGATGAATGCATCCGTATGGGCCAGGACGCGCAGCTCATCGTCTCGAAAGAGACGGCCCTCTACAACCCGGTCGATGGCAAAACCGCCGACCTAGCCGTCCGGGACCGGGACTCGGGAGCAGTCTGGATCTGCGACGTCACTGTTACAGACCCAGTCAGCTCCAGGGACCCCCTCGCCCGCAAGGGGCGCGGTTACATGGCAAGGGAGCAGGCGGACAAGAAGACCGACATGTACCGCCACAGGGCAGAATACGTAGGCTTCTTCCCGCTGGCCGTTGAGACATACGGCTGCCCCTGCGCGGAAGTGCCGGCCTTCCTCAAACTCCTGGCACACACGGCCGCCCGGCGCCTTTTCAATGCCGACCCCTCCTCGTACCAGGCGGCGAAACTACTTAGCCAGTTTCGCCAGCGCTGGTCCGTCACCCTCCAAAGAGGACAGGCACTGGCCTACCTGGGGAAAGTGAACGAGGCGTCACCGCTAGAGTGGCCCCCCTTGGGAGGGCCTGAAGCGGGCATGTCCCTCGGGGACTGCTTCGCCGTGATAGAACCTTAGAAAAGGGGGGGGGGGGGGGGGGGGGGGGGGGGGTTGGTAGGGCCGGGTGCTGGCCTTTCCCACCGGCGGCTCTAGCCTACGCCTGCTCCACTTGCCTAGCATGTACCCAGGATTCCCAGCAACAAAGGACCATTCGAGAGAGAGAGAGAGAGAGAGAGAGAGAGAGAGAGAGAGAGAGAGAGAGAGAGAGAGAGAGAGAGAGAGAGAGAGAGAGAGAGAGAGAGAGAGAGAAGAACCTTTAGTGGCCGCCCCTGGGTGCTCCTGAGGCGGGCATGTCCCTTGGGGACTGCTTCGCGGTCATTGAGCACCCCAGGGAATAGCCGGGGACTAGGAGCAAGACCAGGAATACCATGCATGCTTGTACCTACCTTATATGCCTCGCCTGTACCCAGGATCTCCCAGCAATGAAGGACCGTTCGAGAGAGAAGAACCTTTACCCATCCCCTCTCTCACTTCCACCTTCGCTATTGTCACGTCTCGCCTCCATCCCGCTCAGTCTGAGCTCCTCCCCCTTGCAGTCCTCTGGCAGCTCGTCAAACTTCGAGTGCCCCATGTTCCACACATATTCTTCATTCTTCTCACACCCACCCTTCATCTCACCTCCATCTCGCCTCCATCTCGCTTCCATCCTGCTCAGTCTGAGCTCCTCCCCCTTGCAGTCCTCTGGCAGCTCCTCAATCTTCGAAACCCCTCTTTCTACACCTATCCTCCATTCACGCCAAACCAACTGTTCAATTCGAAGTAGTCACATCTACCCCTCGTTACTGTCACATCGCACCTCCATCTCACTCAGTCGAGCCTCCTCCTGCTTGCACTCCTCTGTCAGCTCGTCCCTCTTCCCTCTATCCTTCACCCATCCCACACACCCTCCTTCCACTGTAGTCATGCATCTCCATCTCACTCAGTCTCACCTCCTCCTCCTTGCACTCCGCAGACAGCTCGTTCCCCTCTAAGCAAGGGCCCCATGTCCTTTTTGAGAATTCTCAAAAAATACCCTTTTCTTCATCCTTCTCACCACACCATCCACCTCACCTCCATCTCGCTAAGCCTGAGCTCCTCCTCCTTGCACTCCTCAGTCAGCTCGTCCCTCTTCCCTCGCAAGCACGCCAGCGCCTTGGAGTGGTCCCTCTCGCCTCCACACTTCTTCTCCACATCGGTTTTGCACGCCATCTTGTGTTAGGAGGGGAGGGGAAAGGAGGAGGGAGGGGAGAGGGAGGGGAGAGGGAGGGGGGAGGAAGGGGAGAGGGAGGGGAGAGGGGAGAGGGTGGAGACAGTGTGGGAAGCGGCGGGGGGGGGGGGAGGGGGGAGAGAAGGTTTCAGCAACTTGATTATGCCTGTCTCCGTGCCGCCACGCTCCAGCGCACGTAACCCCTGTACCGCCACACTCCGTGTTGTCCCCTCACCTGCAGAGGGATATCCAATCGGATATCAGCCACCATGCGCATCTTAATATAGAACAGCTCCTGCCGGCACGTCTCAGAAGAGAGCTTCCTCTCGCTTTCTGTGAGGCACTTGAGCGTCGCCCCCCCGCATGTGACGCCCACAAACGCACGGATGAAGTGACCCCGGTCTCTGAGCCGCCACTTTTCAGCGCCCTCATAACCTGCTACTTGCACCCCACTTACCTGCAACCGGTGATTTTTATCATTCTCAGAAATCGTCTGTGCCCTCATACTCCCCCCCCCCCTCCTTCCCTAGCACCCCCCTTGCCTGCAAGGGGATGTCCAGCGAGATATCAGCCACCATTCTCTTCTTGAAGTAGAACAGCTCCTGCCGGCACGTCTTGGAGCTGAGCTTCCTCTCGTTCTCAGTGAGGCACTTGAGCGTCGCCCCTCCGCACGTGACGCCTGTCTCTGTGCCGCCACTCTCAAGTGCCGCGTCGCACGAGTGAATGCAGAGGTGCTGCACGTCGCTGAAGCACTCCCTGTTGAGCCGGAAGTTGAGGCGGTAGTCTGTCACCAATGGGAGATGGGGAAAGGAGAATAGGTGCCAGGTTGGTAAGGCTTGGATGCCTTTCAAAACGTCTCTTTCTTCTGCAAAACACCTCCGTGATGTATGCCTCCGTGCCGCCACTCTCCAGCACCACGTCGCACGAGTGCATGCAGAGGTGCTGCACATAGATGAAGCACTCCCTGTTCAGGCGGAAGTTGAGGCGGTAGTCTGATGGGAGTGTGGGTATGTGAGCACGTGAGGCGGGTGGGTGGGTGGGTGAGCACAGCACGAGTGCAGGCAGAGGTGCTGCACGTCGCTGAAGCACTCCCTGTTCAGGCGGAAGTTGAGGCGGTAGTCTGGGTGCATAGCGGGAAGAAGCAGATGAGTGAACGTAGGTGAGTGAACCAGCAGCGCAGCACAGCACGAGTGCAGGCAGAGGCGCTGGGCGTCGCTGAACCACTCCTTGTTCAGGCAGGGTTTAAGGCGGCAGTCTGCATAGTTGAGTGTGTGTGTATGTGGGTGCACGAGCCTAGAGGGGCAGGTGAAGGGGTGGGTGCGCAGGTGTCACAACCAGCAGAGCTGCTCGAGTGCAGGCAGAGCCATACCCGCATGCTGCTGCTTCACATGCCAGGCCTTCAATTTCACCCTGACCCTCTGCACACTCTAGATATATTGCCCGGCTTCCAGCTCACCCTCTGCTGCACGCTGCGCGTCCTTCTTTTGAGTCGACTTAAAAGCATGCTGCTGCTCCACATGCCAGGCCTTCAGTTTCACCCTGACCCTCTGCACACTCTAGATATATTGCCAGGCTTCCAGCTCACCCTCTGCACCCTCTGCACCCTCTGCACCCTCCTCAGTATCTATATGGCCAACTCACCCTCTGCTGCACGCTGCACGTCCTTCTTCAACTCGCCCCTGCACGCCTTGCCCATGTCAACCTGCTAGCGCCATACCTCCCCTCCTCCCCCTCCCCCCTCCCAAGAACTGCCTACTCGCCCTCTCGTCCCTGTACGCCTCAACCATGTCAGCATCCGCAACCTGGTAGCGCCATACCTCCCCTCCTCCCCCCCCCCCCTACACAAGAACTGCCAACTCACCCTCTGCTGCGCACTGCACGTCCTTCTTCACCTCGTCCCTGCACGCCTTGCCCATGTCAGCATTCTCTCGAGTCAAGGGCCAACAAACATTCACCCTCTACTAGACACAAGGAGCACTCACCCTCTGCTGCGCGTTGCACGTCCTTCTTCACCTCGTCCCTGCACGCCTTGCCCATGTCAGCATCCTCCACCTTGTCCTGCAGACACTTGATCGTGTCCGGCTGGTCTGTGGACGGACATACATACACACGCCAAGCAGGGGGAGAGGAGGGGGGAGCGGGGTGGGGGGAGGGGGAATGGGGAGGGGGGTGGGGAGAGGGGGAATGGGGAGGGGAGTGGGGAGAGGGGGAATGGGGAGGGGGGTGGGGGGACAGGACAGCACAGGGAAGCAACCTTGTCCTGCAGGCACTTGATCATGTCTGGCTGGCCTGTGGATGGATACACTCACACACACGCATGGGCATGGAGGGGCATGGAGGGGCATGCAGGGGCATGCATGGGCAGACAGGGGCATGGACGGAGACAGGGGAGAGCACCACTTGGTGGTGGTTTTAGCCATACGTGGCAGCGGACTTGTAGAACACTTTTGTCGTCTGAGAAAAATTCTTGCTCAGAAAAAGTCTCTTGAAATCGTAGGGTAAAAATTGATGGTAACTAGTTACCATCACCAAGTGGTGCTCTCAGGGGCATGGACGGAGACAGGGGAGCACGGTCAAGAGGGGCAAGGGCCAGCAAGTGCGCGCTGTGCCCATGTCAGCGACCTCCACCTTGTCCTGCAGGCACTTGATCGTGCCGGCCTGGTCTGCGGGTTGAGAGAGGCAAGTACAAGAGGAACAGGGGCAGTAGGGGGGGGAGGAGGAGGGGGGAGGAGGAGGGGGGGAGGAGGAGGGGGGGAGGAGGAGGGGGGGAGGAGGAGGAGGGGGGGAGGAGGAGGGGGGGAGGAGGAGGGGGGGAGGAGGAGGGGGGGAGAGGGGTTGAGGGGAAACAGGAGCACGTCTTGCCCATGTCTGCATCCTCTACCTTGTCCTGCAGACACTTGATCGTGTCTGGCTGGTCTGCGAGAATTCATATGCGCGCGCCAGCACCAAGTGGGGAGGGACAGCATAAAGAAAGTAATTGGTTGGACATGCGCTAAAAAAGGGAGAGGAGAAGGGTACGCAGTAAGGCACGCCCACACGTGCCCTACACTCACTATAGGCCAGTCTCGTCATGGCACAGTAGCTGCATGCCTTGCTGGCTACATCCGGCTGTGTATGTGCCGTACATAAACCCTGTACGCCCTGTACCCCCTATAAACGCACTCACCTTTGCACAGCCGCTGCATCTCATCGGTGCACGCCTGCCTGAGCGGGAACTTGAAGTCGATGTCCTCAGCAAACCGCACCTCCTGCATTGTGAGAGAGGGGTGAGAGATGAGAGGTGGGGAAAGAAAAAATGAACGGGTTATACATCCAAGTCCATGCTCGGTGTAACAAAACTTAAAGTCAGTGTCCTCTGCTAACCACACCTCCCGCATTGTGAGCGGAGATGTGGTGGCGGGACCACGAGGAAATATATATCTATGTCAATATTCAGCTCAGCACAGCGACACGTCTATGCCTTCAGCAAACCGCACCTCTTGCATCGCGAGAGAGGTGAGGAGCGAGACGTGGAAAGCGTGTATGTTCAGTTCAACAAAAAGTCTACGTCCTCTGCAATACACCTCTAAGCAGGGCCGCTTGTGTCTTCCTTGAGTCTCACCTCTTGGAACAGTGCTTCCTCGCAGCGGCCAGTGAGGCCTCTCCTGTGCTCCTGCCCACCTGGCGCCTCAAAAATGCGTGCCTGACTGCATGAAGGCAAAAAAGCCTCAAAAGTCTCACCTCCAGGACGAGCGCCTCCTCGCAGCGGCCAGTGAGGCCTCTCCTGTGCTCCTGCCCGCCTGGCCCCTCGAAAATGCGTGCCTGACTGCATGAAGGCTAAAAAGGCCTCGCAAGTCTCACCTCCAGGACGAGCGCCTCCTTGCAGCAGCCAGTGGGGCCTCTCCTGTGCTCCCGCCCGCCTGATTTTGAAGGCGCCTCAAAAACGTGTGCCTGGCTGTATGAAGGCTAAAATAAGCATCGCAAGTCCGACCAGCTGAAACAGAGCCTCATTGCAGGGGCCAGTGAGGCCGCTCATGCGCTCCTGCCTGGCTGGCTGCACTGTCATTCCGTGTTTGTACAACATTTTTTAGGCGCCTCAAAAATAGACTCTTTTTGAGGCGCCTCAAAAATAGACTCTTTTTTATGCGCCTCAAAAATAGACTCTTTTCGAGGCGCCTCAGAAATAGACTCCTCACGGCTGCATTGTCATTCAGCGTTTGTTGCAAGCCTCACCTCTTGGAACAGCGCCTCCTTGCAGGGGCCAGTGAGGCCCTTCCTGTGCTCCTGCAGGCACAGCAGCACGCGGGCATGGCCTGGTGGCACGTCCTTGCACAGCTTGGCAGAGTCATCTGGCACAAGGAGGGGGGGGGGGAAGAAGCGGAGGTATCACAGGGTGGGTCACGGAGCACATAGCTCGGGTGCACTCCTACAGGGACTGCACGCGGGCGTGGCCTGGTGGCACGTCCTTGCACAACTTGCAGCTTGGCAGAGTCGTCTGACAGAGGGTTTAGGCAGGGTAGGAGGGGAATGTGAAGGGGGGGGGGGGGGGGGGGAAGAGGGAGGGGGAGGGGTGTGGAGAAAAGGGGGGGTGAGGGGGGTGGGGGGGTGGGTGCGCGGAGGGAGGGGGGGGAGTATTTTCCATGCCTATTGAAAACCAACATGATATCATACCCCGAGCATCCAGGAATCCCCAACCTGTCTTCAAGCACTGACTGCAAGGCTTGGCGAGCGAGAGGGCAGTTGGGTTGATCAGGATAGTTTTTAGGCGCCTAAAAAGCAGGCACTCAGCCTCGCAAGCCTGGGCGAGCGAGAGGGCATTTGATCTTCCACTTGAGCGAGAGGGCACTTGATCTGGAGATTTTCCGACGCCAACTTGGTGGTGAGCTGGTGCACCTGCTGCCGGCACTGCGGGTCTTTGATCTTTCTTGAAGACCCCCCTGGAGTCTCGTCCCACGCCACCCCTCGTTCCTGACTTCGCTGCATACACACCCAAGACACGCACCCTTGCACGCCTGAGCGAGCGGCCGGTTGAACCGAATGTCCTCCGATGCGCGCTTGGTAAGCTGGTGCACCTGCTGCCGGCACCGCGGGTCCTTGAGCTCGCCCCGGTAGTCCTGCAGGCACTCGATCACCTTGGCGTCCCTGTTGGTCACGTCTGCCACATCTTCAGCGTCTTGGTAGCACGTCTGGGGGGTTGGGTGTGTTGGTAGGGGGAGGGCTGTCTGAAAATGGAATAGTCCTGCAGGCACTTGATCACCTTGGCGTTCCTATTCGCCACAAACGCCACGTCCTCCGCGCCTTGGTAGCACGTCTGGGGTTTGCGTGAGGGGGCGGCGGCAGGGGTGGGGGGAGACGGGAGGAGGGGAGGGAAGGAGGGAGTGAAGAAGGCTGTGCTGTGCGTGATCACCTTGGCATCCGTGTTCGTCACATCTGCTACATCCTTCGCGTCTTGGTAGCACGTTTGGGGGTTGTGTGTGTTGGAGTGGCGGGGCGGGGAGAGAGGGAGGGGAGGATGGGAGGGAGGAAGGGGTTGAAGAGGGCTGTGCGTGATCACCTTGGCATCCCTGTTCGCCACATCCGCCATGTGACAGGGAGCATAGTGATTGGTGCTTGGGGAATTGACGTGAGTTGGAGAAAGAGAAGTGACTGGAGTTCAGGAGAGGGAGCCACACCTCCAGACACCCCTAAGGGACCAATGCAAAAAAACTTCTACTTCTTTAGCAGCAATGCAGTTGCTTTCTGACTCACCGTGCTGATGGCACTCACTGTGCTTGCTCATACTGTCAAAGCACAGTTGCCTTATCAGCTCACCGTGCTGATGTCCTCGGCGCAGTACTTGCGCAGGTTGAAATCCGAGTCGCAGTGCTACAACCATTCAAACCTGGACTGATCCCTCTCAGCGTGCTCATGCAACTGACCGTGCTGATGTCCTCGGCGCAGTACTTGCGCAGGTTGAAGTCCAGGCGGAAGTCAGACGCCCTGCGCTCCATCATGCGCTCAAACTCCACCTTGCTGCAGTGGGGGGGGGGGGAGAGGCAGGTGGGTGTGGAAAGCACAAGATGCATGTACGTACGTGTTGTGTGAAATGACTCAGAAGACGCCCTGCGCTCCAACATGCGCCGCAAGGTGGAGTTTGAGAGCTCGTCCCCTGCCACTCTCAGCTCGTCCCGTGCCACTCCCAGCTCGTCCCGTGCCACTCCCAGCTCGTCCCGTGCCACTCCCAGCTCGTCCCGTGCCACTCCCAGCTCGTCCCCCCTCACCCCCCTGCCTCCCCTGCCTCCCCTGCCTCCCCTGCCTCCCCTGCCTCCCCTGCCTCCCCTGTCTCCCCTGCCTCCCCTGTCACCCCTGTCTCCCCTGTCTCCCCTGCCTCCCCTGTCACCCCTGCCTGTCACCCCTGTCAGTCATCCCTGTCAGTCATCCCTGTCAGTCATCCCAGTCAGTCATCCCAGTCAGTCATCCCAGTCAGTCGTCCCAGTCAGTCATCCCAGTCAGTCGTCCCTGTCAGTCATCCCAGTCAGTCATCCCTGTCAGTCATCCCAGTCAGTCATCCCAGTCAGTCGTCCCTGTCAGTCGTCCCTGTCAGTCATCCCAGTCAGTCGTCCCTGTCAGTCGTCCCTGTCAGTCATCCCTGTCAGTCATCCCAGTCAGTCATCCCTGTCAGTCATCCCAGTCAGTCATCCCAGTCAGTCATCCCAGTCAGTCATCCCAGTCAGTCATCCCAGTCAGTCATCCCAGTCAGTCATCCCAGTCAGTCATCCCAGTCAGTCATCCCAGTCAGTCATCCCAGTCAGTCATCCCAGTCAGTCATCCCAGTCAGTCATCCCAGTCAGTCATCCCAGTCAGTCATCCCAGTCAGTCATCCCAGTCAGTCATCCCAGTCAGTCATCCCAGTCAGTCATCCCAGTCAGTCATCCCAGTCAGTCATCCCAGTCAGTCATCCCAGTCAGTCATCCCAGTCAGTCATCCCAGTCAGTCATCCCAGTCAGTCATCCCAGTCAGTCATCCCAGTCAGTCATCCCAGTCAGTCGTCCCAGTCAGTCATCCCAGTCAGTCGTCCCAGTCAGTCGTCCCAGTCAGTCATCCCAGTCAGTCGTCCCAGTCAGTCGTCCCAGTCAGTCGTCCCAGTCAGTCATCCCAGTCAGTCGTCCCTGTCAGTCACCCTTGTCATCCCGTCTTCGCCCCCTGCCCTTCTTCCCCTGCTCTCACCAAGTCTTGGAGAAGTCCGAGTCCAGCAGGTGCAACTCCAGGCAGTCCTTCACTCGGGCATTGCCTGTGACTCGAATCAGTAACCAAAACCTCGGGCATATTCAGGCTCACTCTCCTCCTCTCTCACCAAGTCTTGGAGAAGTCCGAGTCCAGGAGGTGCAACTCCAGGCAGTCCTTCACTCGGGCGTCCCCTGGCAGCACATCGGGGCAGAAGCGCCGCTTGTCCTCCAGGCAGGCTGCGTATGACAGGGACGTGGGGACGGGAAAGGGAATGGGGCACGAAGAGAGGGTAGCAGTCGGGCGTCCCCTGGCAGCACATCGGAGCAGAAGCGCCGCTTGTCCTCCAGGCAGGCTGTTTGTGAGAGAGATGCATGCGGGCACAACAAGGAGAATGCGTCATTCAAAAAGGGCGGCCCCTGGCAGCACAAAAAGGGCCCTCACCGGAATGCTTCACTCGGGCGTCCCCTGGCAGCACATTGGGGCAGATGCGTCACTTATCCCCCAGGCAGGTTGCATAAGGAAGTCAAACGCGAGTATGTGCACTCATACGCACCTTTGAAGAGGCGCGTGTTGAGGCAGATGTCCTCAAAGATCTCAATCTCCTTTGGAGGCGACTCTGAATGCGCCTAAGTATGGGGCTCCCAATCTCATTCCGGCACACCTCAAACGAGTGCGTGTGGCGTGTGCACTCGTGCTCACCTTTGAAGAGGCGCGTGTTGAGGCGGATGTCCTCTGAGCTCTCGATCTCCTGGCGGAAGAGCTCTGCCAGACACTCCCAGTTGAGGCTGTTCCGGTGATCCCTCTGGTGCGAATACAGGCCCGGAATGCAGAGGAAGGAAGAAAAAGGAGGAGGGAGAAGCGAGGAGGGAGGAAAGAGAAAGGAAGGAAAAGGAAGGAAGAAGGGAGGATACAACATCAGCAAGGAGCACACACACAGTCGCAGCCACATTGCGCTTTCATTCAGCTCATTATTAACCTTCCTACTCTTGAAACATACACTCTGAACACCCACGCACAGACACCCGCACACAGCCCTTCCTCACCTCCCCTCCCTCCCTCTCTTACCAGGCAGTCCTGCACATGCATGCCCCTCCCCAGTGGGCACGTCGACGCAAAGCTGCTTCACGTCTCCTGAGCAAATCTCATTCAGCGGGCTTAGACCCAAAAGTAGCACACACTTTAGGCGCACTCCCCCACACCCACACGCATAGACCCACATGCCCACACCAGCACACATACCAGAAAAGCCCTGAACGTGCCCCTCCCCAGTGGGCATGTCACCTCACAGCCGCTTCCTTTCTCCTGAGCACATCTCACTTACCAGACCTTCGAATCCGCGGCTCAAAAAGCTCGTTCTCGTCACTCGCACACACGCAGAGACCACTCTCCCCCACCCACCGCACTCCTTTCACATACCAGGCAGTCCTGCACGCGGCCCTCCCCAGTGGGGACGTCAGCGCACAGCCGCTTCACGTCTCCCGAGCAAGTCTCGTTCAGCTGAGGGTCCAGAGCAAAGTCGTTCGCCGCGTCCATCTGCGCCTCAAACACCTTCTGCCCGCACGCCTCCGACACCTTGCCACCTGACTTGGCCTCCCTGAGAGGAGTACACCAGGGGGGAGGAGGGGGGGAGGAAGTGTAAGGAAGGGGTGGAAGAGCTTCAGCTGAGGGTCCAGCGCAAAGTCGTTCACCGCGTCCAGCTGCGTCTCGAACACCTTCTACCCGCGCCTCTGACACCTTGCCACCTGACTTGGCCTCCCTGGTTGAAGTACACCAGGGGGGGGGGGGGGGGGAGGTAGTGTAAAGAAGGGGTAGAATGGCTCCAGCTGAGGGTCCAGCGCAAAGTCGATTGCAGCATCCAGCTGCGCCTCGAACACCTTCTACCCGCGCCTCTGACACCTTGCCGCCTGACTTGGCCTCCCTGGTAACATCGCGGGAGGAGAGGGGTTGAGGGGAGAGGGAGCTAGCTTGTGGCTTCCTGCTGAGACTCAAACACCTTTCTGTCCGCACGCCTCTGAGATCCTGCCGCCTGGCTTGGCCTCCTATCCGCATCCTTCCCTCAGTAGCGGGATTGGAGCGACAAGGGAAGGGGGGCGCACCTTGAGGCAGGCGAGGGTGCTGCCGACCCTTGGGGTAGAGTCGTCATCATCAGACAGAGAACAGGAGGGAACGGGCAAGGGAGGGTGAAAGGGAACGGGCAAGGGAGAGGGAAAGGGAACGGGCAAGGGAGGGGGAAAGGGAACGGGCAAGGGGGCGGGCAAGGGGGCGGGCAAGGGGGCGGGCAATGGGGCGGGTACCAGAAAGGGCCAGGGAACAAGAAAGAGAACGAGACATGGAACGGATTAGGGAACCGGCCAGGGGTCTAGAAGGGCGCACCTGAGGCAAGCGAGGACGCTGCCGACCTCGGGGTAGAGGAAGTCGTCGTCACAGAGTGATGAGATGTCGTCCTTGCACGCCTCCACTGCACTTCCCCACACACGCCCACACGCACACACATACCACACACACACACACAGACATTCCCCCCCCCCCACCCACCCCACAGACACACAGGCACACGTGGTAACGGGGATGAGTTACGAGGGAAAAGCGCATGTCGAGCAACATCGGCACATACACTGCTAGGAACGCGGATATATGCACATACATACACCTAGAGTGCTCACTGGCATCTTGTTGAATGCTGCAGTCTAACCTAAAATAAAACCAAATTCACTCATCCGTTTTGTTTTGAGGCGCCTCAAAACTGAGTCTAGTTTTGAGGCGCCTCAAAACTGAATGCTGCAGTCTAACCTGAAATAAAACCAAATTCACTCATCAGTTTTGCGACTGGCGTTCGTCATCTCAGCTCCATGGGCTTATGGATTTATCGTCCTCCTCCACCCATTCAAGGCAGTGTCTTCCATTGCTTCGCCACGAGTGATGCGATATGAACAGCATCATTTACATATTTATTCATCATTTACAAACTCATGGTTCATATAAATGGCAGTGTTTTCCATCATCTCACTCATGAGTGATGAAGTACTCACTTCCTCACTTCGTCATCTCAACCTCAATCATTCAACGAAATGTCCTTGTACATCTCAATCATTTATTTCTTTGCCAAAGATAAAAAAAATAGTGTACTGTTGTTCATTACTCACTCATTTCCTTGTCGATTGAGATGTCCTTGTAGACCTCAATCTTGAACCGGCGAATAGCCTTGAGGCATTTCTTGCCGAATTTCTTATCAGCAGAGGCTGTTGAGGGGAGCAAGGAGCACGGAAAAGACGAGGCGCGGAGTGTGGGAAAGGGGAGTGAATCTTTGGCGCGTAGGTGGGAGTAAACGAGGAAGATACTCGAGCATTTTGAGCCAATCCTAAACACTCTCGCTCCCAGACGACTCTCCATTCGTCCCAAATGCTTTCCGCCATGCCATCAATTCGGACGGACTCGAGAACTCGGGGTCGAGCTCTCGTGAATCAAGTGGCGAAAACATGACGACATCCCTGGAAGGTTAATAAACAGCGCCTAGCGCAAATATCGCATCGATGCATTGACGAAGCCCTCGCTGAACAGCTTGATCTCCGCCACGTCTGGCCTGCCCCGCTACACGTACGGCGGCTACTGCGCTCATCGTTAGCTCGATCTCCCTCGCGCCTGGCCCGCCTGGCTCGCCTGGCCTACCATGCTACACGTACGGCGGCTACTGCGCTCACCGTCCGCGGCCTTGGAGAGCTTGAAGCTATCCGAGAGGCAGCGCTCGAGACTCCTATTGCGCACATCCACGCCCTCTCCGATTAGCTTGATTTCCGTCTGGCCTGGCCTATCACGCTACGCGTACGCTAGCTGCTGCGCTCACCGTCAGCGGCCTTGGAGAGCTTGAAGCTCTCCGAGAGGCAGCGCTCGAGACTCCTATTGCCCACATCCACGCCCTCGCAGAACAGCTTGATCTCCGCCTTGCACGCCCCTGCAATGCAACCATTCAAGAAAACACGGACGGGGAAGCACCTCAGAGAACTCGAAGCACGGACATCTGAACTGCTCACGATCCGGGCTCAAAGCTGCACTGTAGACGATACCGTGACTGTCACGAAGCTTAAGGCAAGCGCAGCACGCTGGGGCAATTGGCACAGACGGGACACAGTGCGAAGTTGTTTCCCGTTGCGTGCCCGGCCAGTGTTCCCTGCGTCAGGCATCGCCGTCGAAGCCAGTGGCGTTGTAACGAGGTGACTTTTGAGTCGACTCAAAAGTCACCTTGTGTTCCCTGCGTCAGGCATCGCCGTCAAAACCAGTGGCGCAGCAAAAGCTGCTCTGAGAAGGAACGGTGAGGGCCCGTTGAATTTCAACAGATGAACGATCTGGTCACCGTCAGCACGCGAGATGATCATCGAGTCGACTAAAATCCGGCCGTCGAAATAAAGGCCAGGTCATGGTCACAAGACTGACTCACAAGACTGAGCCACAAATTGTCGTCAGAGTCGATGTCGCTCTGGTCCTCGGAAAAAACGCCATCGATATCAATCCCTAATGCGCACCAGCAGGGAAGATGCCTCCAGCATTTTTCTCCGCCTTGATAATATCCTGCTCCAGCTGACTCCCTGGCGGAGGGTCCTCGGCAGCACCAGCAACACATTTCGAGATATCGTCATCATTTCTTAACACACTTACCAGCGGGGAATATGTCTCCGGCCTTCTTCTCCGCCTTGATAATATCCTGCTCCAGCTGGCTCCCTGGCGGAGGGTCCTCGGCAGCACCAGCAGCAGCGGCGTCATCCCCAGTGGTATCCTCCCCCTCCCCCTCCTTCTCCTCTTTCACCGACTCTTCCGCTGCGGGAGCTGCTTCCGCCTCTCCGCCTTCCGCCTTTCCCCCTTCGTCCGCGGAAGCCTTAGCTTCCGCCGCTTCCCCCTCGCCGGCGGACTCGGCTGCTTCTTCCGCGGCGGGCGATGATTTCTCTTCAGAAGCTGCTGGCTTGGTATCGTCTGAGGCTGGAGATGCATCCTCTGCAGAGGGAGAATCTACTGCAGCGGGGGATTCTTCTGCAGCCTTTGTTTTTTTCTTCTTCTTTGCGCTGACCGTGGTAGCGGTCGTTGCCAATAGGAAGAGAAGGAAGATCGCGACTAATTGAGTGCGTTTCGCCTGCCAGACAACGAGGGAAATGAAAAAAAAAAAAATGTAATTTTGTTAGGCATGGCGTCCTTTTTATGAGCACATTGAAAATAAAACGATGCGTGGATCACAAGAACGCCTCACCATTGTGGATTGAGGGGAAATGGCCACTATTCTGCAGCTTGCAGCCAGTATCGGTCAGGATCGGTCAGGATCGGTCAGGATCAGTATCTGGAAAGTTATCTGATCACGAGACATGCATTGGAGCCGATCACGTCAAACCCCTTATGTCAAGCTGCCGTAAGCTGGAACCTTGTGGCTCTAGACGACGCGGGAATAGCCTCAACTGCTCTCAAGCGTGGCCCTTAGAACGCCTGCAACGGAGGGATCGGCACTCCCAGTGTTTGCTGGAAATTGGCAGTGAAGACAGGTGAAGTATTTCAGAAAATGTAGAGAAGATCTGCTTACGTGTTTGCTACCTCTTGGTAGATTCTGAAAGTTACAGAGCGGTGGACACGGGTCCGCATAGGTTCAGGAAAAGCATTCTGGGGAATGGCTTCCGTTACCTGCCTGATGATCCCAAGAGCTGGTGCTGGTGGCGAAGGTTGGTTGGTTGGTGGACCCACCTGTTGGCGTATGGATGGATCTTCGCGAAACTCCCACATCGCTTATCTTGACGTTCTAGCGCAGACTTGACGGCCGGCGATCTCAAGGTTGGAGATCAGCGGTCCCTGGTGCAGTTGTAATTCGTTGACGAGATTGGCAGCTCGGCTGGGGCTGAGTTGCACGCTTGGGCGTTTCATTCCGTCCGGTTAGACGGCTCATTCGGGTCGCACGCAGCCCGTCGACTGGCATGTGGCGGGAAGGTGGGGCGACAGGGAGGGAGAATCCTGGACGAGCGTGATAAAGACGAGGGCTTCCAACTTTCCTGAACCACCACTTCACTTGGGGTGATTGTGACCATAAAGAACAGCTCCCTCATTTGTCTTAATAATTTATCATCACCACCGTTGGCCACCTCAACCTGCGATAACTAGAAACGAAGAACTCTGTATGCCAGCTTATTCTCGCAGAGATTCTCACAAATTTTGCGAGCGCAGCTTGTTCTGTACACATCTCTTTCTGTGTCGCAGAATCCGCCGAAATCCTTCTTATTACAGAGAGCCATTTCGTTAGTCTTCCGTCTCCCGTCGATGTCTGCTGACCCGCTGCCACGTCAGCAGCCTCAGAACGGCAGTTACGTCCCTCCGAGGGGATCCATCTGGCAGATTCGCCGATATCGCCGGCTAGGCTTCTACACGGGGATCTATATCGCGTCTGCCTGCGCCGCGTACACTTACGCCAACATTGCGTGCGTGACCCTGTGCCCCGTACCACTCTTCCTCCCCAGCTGCTCCCCCACATCCCTGACCTAATCGCCATCATCTCAACCCCCTCCTCTCGTCATACCTCCCCTCCTCGCCCCTCGTCCAATCTCCCCAATCCTTCCCACACCACCACTTATTGCTTTCCCCCCCGATCTTACTTTCCTCCGAGGGGGTCTCTCCCCTTCCATTCTCCCCGTGCATTCTCTCTCTCTCTCTCCCTCCCACCCCCCAATCCCACCCCCCCCCTCTCTCCCCCCCTCCCGCCCCTGCAGCATTCGGGCGCATGTGCCTCTGGTTGCGACGCCTTACAGCGGGTATGCTTCTGGCGCGGAAATGCTAGTGGACACAACCAAGGTAAGGAATCAGAAACCACGATTCTTCATCTCCTGCTGTCCCCCTTGTCTGGGTTCTCAGGATCCTAACACACCCATCTGGGTACTAACCCCCTTCTTCGTCCACTTTTGAGTCTACTCAAAAGTCATCTCTAAACTTTACCCACCATGCGTTCTCTCCTGCTGTCCCCCTTGTCTGGGTTCTCAGGATCCTCACACTCCCGTCTGGGTACTAACCCCCTTCTTCGTCCCTTGTCTGGGTTCTCTCCGTACTCCTCCCGTCAGCTGTACCAACCCAGGGGCTCTGGGAAAAGCCTTGAGGATTCCCAGGATTACAACAATCACGTTCCCACCAAGCCCTACTCTCTCGTTTCTCCTCCCCTTGGAGTTCACGGTACTAGCGAAGCATTACGAGAGGCAGGGGTGCCTTTGAGTCGACTCAAGATGTTCCTTCTCTCCTGTCTCCTCTTCCTCCTCCCGTCTTTCTCCTCCCATCTTCCTCCTCCCATCTTTCTCCTCCCATCAGCTGTACCAGCGCGCGCTGGGGAATGTATTTGAGGAGACTGACTGGGGCCCCTTGGAGTTCACGATACTAGCGAAGCACTATGAGCGGCAGGGGCAGCGGGCGTACGCATACCATGCTGTGAGTGTGGTTGATCCCTGAGATTTAAATCAAGGTGCGGATCTAGCTTCATGCATGAGCGGGCGTGCGCATACCATGCTGTGAGCGGGCGTGCGCATACCATCCATGCTGTGAGCGGGATGTGATGGATCCCTGGGGTTTAGAGCAAGGTGCGCATCTGGTTGCGTTGCATGCATGTGGGTTCTGCCTCTGGAGATGACGGTACTGGCGAAGCTCTTTGAGAGGCAGGGGCAAGGACTTCAAGGCACTCCTCAAGGCGAGGTCTAAACTGAAGAAGATGAAGGCCCTCCACGAGCAAGGTGTGATTCTGCACAGCCTTCGCACCAAGGTCGCGGAGTTCCAGACCAAGTACCCTCTGACGCGGGAAAAGTCGGCTGCATCGGTCGCCTTGGTTCATCTCGAGAACCAGAAGCGCATTCAGGAGGATTTCATCAAGTCCAAGGAGGCGGAGGTTGAGGAAATTCAGTCAGCATCCGCCTCTCACGTGGCAGTTCTGGCGGCCAACCTCGAAGACTACATACAAGGCCTTAGCTCCGACCCTGAGCTCACCGTATCTGATGCGGCTAAAGAGCGCTTCCGGAAGATCAAAGCGTCGTGCATCGAGCAGGCCAAGTCTGAGATCGTCACCGCCAAGGATGAGATTGTCATCCAGGAACTGCACAAGCAGAAGGCACGTGAAGCTGAAGAGTTGAAGAAAGCTGCTGCTGCTGAAGAGATGGAGAAAATGGAAACGGCTCCGGTACTCGATGAACTCGTGCTGAAATCTACTAAGCGGCGAGTCGAGGCGATGCGCAAGGAAGTTGTGGCGAGCATTACGGCGAACGTCACTGCGAGCGTCGAGGCGAAGCTGACTGCGAAGTTTCAGAAGAGTTTGTCGATGGGATCGCAGGATCCTAAACTGGCCCCCTCGTCTTCGAAGCCCAAGGCGGACCCGTCCAAGAACCCGAAGAGTAACTCTTCTGGGAACAAGGCAGATGTACCGAAGGCTCCGAAGAAGCGAGGGAAAGGCAAGAAGAAAACGAAGTCTCCAGGCGGCAGCGGAGGGAAAGGCCAACAATCTTCCTCAACTACGGCCCAAGTTCCAAAAAACGGCGGCGGCGGCCCAGGAAAAGGGCCGCGCAAGAACTAACTGCACGAGATCTCGCACTCCGCCGGTTCGGACGACCGACTTTACGGCAGCTGCAGTCACGCGTTCGGAACCGGGGGGTACACAACCTGAGCTCTAAGGTTTTATCTCACGACGAAACCAAAGCACTCGGGATGGGACTCAAATTCGTACCTACGCCGCCATGGAATTTTTCCATCGAAGCAGATCTGGATCAACTGCATCGACGGATCTCCCTCAGTTTTTTCTTCAAGGATCAAGGGTCTTCAGCCTCATCACGTTTCCGGGTGAAGAATCCAAACTGGAGACCCGAGCGGGACGTGGTCCCGGAGCATGTCTTCAAGGAGGCGCGAGCCGACCTATCTTTCCTGCTGAAAGCGTGTAAGCCGTCACGGGGACTCAACCTTTCACGAGGAGTCCGTACGGCTTTACGCTCCTTATCGCTCGACAGCGACATCGTCATCAAACCTGCTGATAAAAACGTCGGAGTAACTGCGATGGACCGCGCGCACTACGTCGCTCTCTGCATGGAGCATCTTGACGACGCGACAGTGTACCAGCCGGTTCGTCATGACCCAACTCCTTCTGTTCTACAGCAACTGGTGGAGCTGAAGACGACGTGGGGACCTGCTTTTCCTGACAGTCTTTGGAAATACTTTTTCGATCGACCGCCAGGAGGTTGGCGACCAGCAGCATTTTATATCCTGCCGAAGCTCCACAAGAAAGTACCGGTGGGACGACCGATCGTCGCCTCACATTCCTGGGTCACGACTAATGTGAGCCGATGGCTGGATTCTCAACTACGACCGCTAGTACTCAAACAACCGACCTACCTGCGCGACTCCCTCTCTTTGTTAACAAAGCTAGAAGCTACGGTTTTTCCACCGACTGTACTTCTGGCCACCTACGATGTCACCTCGCTCTACCCAAGCATCTCCATCGATCGAGGGCTCGAAGCAGTTAGCAATTTTCTTCTGAGGGCACCAACACAGCTCGCTCAACCGCTCATGGCTTTCTTGGGATGGGTCATGAGGAATTCTTTCGTGGAATTCGACGGCAGGATTTTTCATCAAGTACAAGGCACTGCGATGGGAACTCCAGTCGCAGTCTGCTTTGCGGTCCTCTTCATGAGCCGTCTCGACGAGCTACTCAAGGAGAGGTGGACCGGGATATCACCAAGTTACCACGTCCGTTACATCGACGATGGCCTTATCATTTGGCCAGGCTCGCGGGCAGACCTGGAGGAGTACCTGCGAACTTTCAACGGCTTGGATCCTTCCATCAGGATCACGTGGAATATCTCGGAGCACTCCGTTGATTTTCTGGATGTTGTCCTTCACAAAGGGCAGCGTTTCAAGGAGTGCGGTCGTCTTGACCTCGGCACTTTTCAGAAGCCGATGAACAGATACCTCTACCTTCCCTTCTCCTCTTTCCACCCCCGGCACTGCAAGGAAGGTTTCATACGCGCCGAACTACAGCGTTACCTACTGAGGGGATGGATGTGGGGGATGGATGTGGGGGATGGATGTGAGGGATGGATGTGGGGGATGGATGTGAGGGATGGATGTGGGGGATGGATGTGAGGGATGGATGTGGGGGATGGATGTGAGGGATGGATGTGGGGGATGGATGTGAGGGATGGATGTGGGGGATGGATGTGGGGGATGGATGTGAGGGATGGATGTGAGGGATGGATGTGGGGGATGGATGTGAGGGATGGATGTGGGGGATGGATGTGAGGGATGGATGTGGGGGATGGATGTGAGGGATGGATGTGGGGGATGGATGTGGGGGATGGATGTGAGGGATGGATGTGAGGGATGGATGTGGGGGATGGATGTGAGGGATGGATGTGGGGGATGGATGTGAGGGATGGATGTGGGGGATGGATGTGAGGGATGGATGTGGGGGATGGATGTGGGGGATGGATGTGAGGGATGGATGTGGGGGATGGATGTGGGGGATGGATGTGAGGGATGGATGTGAGGGATCCCTGGGATTTAGAAGAGGGAGGGCAGATCTGGCGGCATGCTTGTGGAAGGTGCAGACCTGACTGCATGTGGGTTCTGCCTCTGGAGTTCACGATTCTGGCGAAGGGTGTGGGGATGCATGTGGGGATGCATGTGGGGATGCATGTGGGGATGCGTGTGGGGATGCGTGTGGGGATGCGTGTGGGGATGCATGTGGGGATGCATGTGGGGATGCATGTGGGGATCCAGAGCACAAAGCGCGTCTGACTTCATGGATGCCAATCGTTAACCTTTCCCCTTTCCCCATGGCAATGCCGGCTAATTATATTATAATTATATTGTCTTTCTCTTTCCTCGCCACTTTTCTCATCCCATTGTCTTCCGCGCCCCTCCCGTCGCCTTCCTCGCCCAACCATGCACCATCCTCCTCCATATCTGCTCTACAGCACTACGTGGCACACCTTCTATCGAATGGGGAGGTTGATGGAACCAAGCCCTCCCTGTGACTCGTTGAGGTGTACTCTATGCGACGTTGATTAGAATTAAGTATAATGGCTCGCCTTTCATTTGTAAATATGTAACCACCATTCTTGGATCTTCTTGCGGTGATGCTCCTAATAATGTTACCAGTGCCACGGTCACGGGCCTCTATGGCCATGGCCTTTTGCAGTCGTATCGTATACCGCTTTGCAAAGGATGGATTAAAGCCCTTCACCTAAATTGTAGGCCGTGCTCGTAAGGTAGAAAAACACACTCACCCACGGTTAAAAGCGATGCAGTCCACGAAGGTTGAAGGAATCGTGCGCGCACAACTGCTATGCTTTGGGCTAACGATCTTGCATCTCACAATCCATGCGTTCAACCTCAAAATTGCTCCGAAGAATTCCATTCTTCGTCCGACTGGCCTACAAAACGAGCCTCCGTGTAATTGGCTCAATTTTTATCCACTCGTGTTCTCTGTCGATTTCACAAACAGCATAGAACATCTGCATGTACCGCGTATGCGGTGGCAGCAGGTGACATGAGTGTGTTGTTGACCCTCGCAAGTGGTCGATTTGTTGAGTAGCGTCAAAATGTGCCTGAAGTATGTTCGAAGTTCGGATGTTCGACAGAAAGCGATGCAGCGACGTCGTATCACCGCACTGCAACGTTCTGAAAAGTTCATAAACACTAAAACAAGACCTCAACACTGTTCATCAACATCGCCAGATGTCCTTGACATCTGTTTCGTCCACTTCGAGCCCGCCCTTACGTGTGAGCCCTCACACGCGCGTGAGAAACCCTTGTCAGTTTCCCGCCACAAAAGGTAGCAAGCAATGCTGCATTGGTCGGCCTATGTCACGTGGCTCATGTGCTGATCTGGCTTGCTTTCTGGAGCCTCCAGTTACAGTTCGCCTACGTGCCGGGAACAAAGCTCACGTAAGCATCTCTTACCCAATGAAATAGCCCCCTTGAATCACGTGCTCTCAGTACCAACGTTCCACGTGAGAGATACACGTCAGATGAGGAGGTTCCGCGCAAACAAAAGCCAGCCTCGTTCATCCCTTACCTTTACCCCAGCCACAGGCCAGCTCGGTGTACACCTGTTTGCTTATGTAGTCCCACGTTTGTTGCACGCGGCTCAGACCTGTAAACAGGAAATTGTAAAACTCGGGCAAACGGGACTTCGAAGGGGAAATCCCACAGTAAACAATGACACTTGGTTACAAAATCTCGCTCATGTACTTGATTAGTTGCCTGCGCGACGTTCCAGCTCTGAAACGCGCAATTGTCGAAATACAACTTGGTAGTTCGTTATCGTTCAGACTGCAGCCAATCAGGTTCAGTGTCAACGCGAGTCATGCTGAGAAGCTGGTAGGTGAGATTGCAATTTGAACTGTTCGGGGTGGGACCATAGAGGAGAAAAGGTTTAGTTTTCGCTGGCTACGGGCAGGACTGCAAAAACAGTACTTCGCCTCCCCAGGAGCAATCAGCAAGGGCGCGATGTGATCGCGTCGCTCGGATCGTCCGATCTGAGCCCTCCGCTCCACCCTGGAAGTCCCGATCATTGCTTTCATCCGTCCGATCAATCTCAGCCAGCCCCCGAACTCCTCGATGCCCACCACCTCAAGGCTGCTCCTCTCGTTTCAGGGGTTCTGATTTCCAATCTCTAGGGTTTTGAAGTGGAGTTCCCAGGGCGAGAGCAGAGCAGCAGAAGAGCAGCCCCCCTGGGTTCCAGCCACCTAGAGACTACTAGAGCAGAGGGGCAGACCCACCCAACCTGTTTGAATGAACTTTCTAGGCTCGGGAAATTCCTAGGGTGGAGAAGATCGCTTGGCTGGTGCCGACAGATTAGCCTGCCTCAACCTTACGTCCCGAACAACTCGATGCATTCTTCTCGTCCCTCTCTGGCTCTCTCCCTTCCCTACCCATCAAGAGGTATAACCTCAACTTCGTCTGGGGTTTTAGATTGTCGGTGTGTGATGCCAGGAGATGAGATGCGGAGGATTCGTGAACAGACTGGCGTCCTATGCTTACGCATTACGCATTCGTGAACGATCTTGGACAGCCACTTCGCAGCCCGAGAGTCTATAGCGGAACGTAGACGGCTGGTTGTAGTACACATAGCCGTCGTCACTGTTAGCTGTCGTCACCGTTTGCCGTCGTAAAGTTCCGTAGTATATATAGCTGTCCTGTAGCTTAGCATCTTCGCGTTCTTGCTTGGCCAGAGTGCAGAGGTTCCTCCTCTAGCGGATGTAATAGTTCTTCTCATAGGTTCCTCTAGTAGACGTAGGTTCTTCTCATAGCCATCGTCGTTCTATTAGAATTCGGCAGCAACGCAACAGCGGTAAGTCAGGGTTTTCCCGCCGCGTCGTTCTGTTCCTTATCCTCCCTCCAATCCAAACCAAGTTGAGGCTAAGACGAATGCTGTTTTTTCTTCAGTTTTTTTTTTTTTTTTTTTTTTTTTTTTTTCCCTTCTTCTTCTTCTCTCCGTGTTGGCTCAGGCATCGCACCGACATGATTGGGACGAAATGTTCGTCATAGCTAACGAAGGCGGTGGAGCATCGGGACTCGCGAACACCAGTCGAGTAGAGGCCTGCCGCCAAGCCGCTAAATTGTCCGAGTGTCAGGTAAACCGATGACCGTCTGGTCCTTCGGCCTTCTCGTGCCGCATATTGCTCCGACCTTATTTCCTCTTGTTGCTTCCGTACCACTCTCTGTTTCGTGCTGCTGAATCCACATTCTTTCTCCACTTTTCCCCACACTGAAAATGCATTTCCACGTTTCCTTGTTCCGTCGAAATTGCAGGGTCCGAAGCCACAGGAAGGTACGAAGCCACAGGACAACATAGCAATGGCAGCCGGACAACCATCCATGCACAGCGAATCCCTAGAGGACCAACTCAGTGCTCTAGACCACCGTTCCTTCACCTCGGTGTTTCCCACGGGCGACGGAAATCGGACCTGGCACGGCGGAAACCTCTTCTACGCTCTCCAGGCTCAAAATGCCGCGTCTAGAACAGGATCGGTAGACGACTTAGCCATTCCGGCCGGTGCTGCTTATCAGAACCACTGGCAGCAGCAGGGAGGGGGGGACTTGGCCGGCGGGCGTTTGAAAGCTAATTTTGCCGGTCGCCAGAACCACGCGATTTCAGGTCAGGCGAGCGGTTTCGACGGTGGATACCAGACAAAATATTTCGTGCGTTCGTCGCCTCCCAATAGCATGCTGGCTCCAGGGCTGGTCCCCGTTAGCGGGCTCAAAGCTCCCCAGATGACAAACAGTCGCAGGAACGGCGTTGGGTTGCCAGCGGGATTCTCAGCGCGAGAAAGCCAGGCGTTTTCGATGCAGGGAGGAGGCGAATCTCCGATGGAAGGGGTGGAAAGAAACGCGTCCGATGCTGCCGCTGCTGCTGCGGGTGATTTTTGGAACGGGCGAAGCGAAAGGATAGCTCAGGGTCAAATGGCCTCTGGATTCGCCTTCCAACAGCACGGATCGCTCGCTACAGGAGAGGGGCAACATTCGCCCAGTAGCGACATGCACCAGACGCTGCTTTTGCCTGGGCAGCAAGAGCTTCAGTTTCAAGGGCTGCAGCCGGCCGAGCAGACTCAACTCGCGGCCTTCCCTCACCGGCTATCCCCACCTCCGGGGGTGCCGCGAGGCTCCCCAGGCGTGCCACAGGGCTCCCCGGGCGTGCCACAGGGCTCCCCGGGCTTGCAACAGCACCGGGGAAACGGCAGCCCGTCGTCTGGTAACCGGTCCGGCGGTGGCTCGTCCGTCAACTCGGCCGCTGGGTCCGGCAGCACGGCTTGTGGGTCGCGATCGGCGCTGGGGGCTTGTGGATCGGGACAGTCGCTGCCACGGCCAGATGACGCGGACCTGACGAGCGTCCTGTGGGAGAGCCGGTCCAGATGCAATGTATCTGGCGCTGGCGCTGGCGCTGGTGCTGCATGTGTGTTTGGCGGTCAGCAGGAGCGAGGGATGCAAGGCGATGGGAGTGCGCATGGGGGTCAAATGGGTCAGCGAGACGGCAGCATGCACGGGGGTCAAATGGGTCAGCGAGACGGCAGCTTGCACGGCGGTCAAATGGGTCAGCGAGACGGCAGCTTGCACGGCGGTCAAATGGGTCAGCGAGACGGCAGCTTGCACGGCGGTCAAGCGATTCTGAGGGATGGGAGTGTGCATGGCGGTCAACCAGGCGGCAGCATGTACGGCGGTCAAATGGGTCAACGAGACGGCAGCATGCATGGCGGTCAAGCGGTTCTTAGGGATGGGAGTGTGCACGGCGGTCAATCGAGTCAGCTGGGCGGCAGCATACATGGCGGTCAAATAGATCAACTAGATGGCAGCATGCACGGCGGTCAGACGAGTTTGAGAGATGGGAGTGTGCACGGCGGTCAATCGAGTCAACTGGGCGGCAGCCTGCATGGGGGTCAGCTGAGTCGTTTGGGCGGCAGCATGCATGGCGGTCAAGCGAGTCATTTGGGCGGCAGCGTGCACGGCGGTCAACTGAGTCAACTGGGCGGGAGCATCCATGGCGGTCAACGAGACGGCAGCATGCATGGCCGCCAACGAGATGGCAGTGTGCATGGCGAAGCCGTCCCAGCACACACCGACAACCAAGCGCGCAGCGACCACTTAGGCCACCTGTACAGTAGCGGCAGCGCGCACGGAGGCGGCCTTTACGCTAGTCGCCTTAACTCAGGCGGCCTCTATGGCAGTGCGCTCCATTACCCCAACCCCAGTGCCCTCAGCGCACGGGGCAGCGCACAAGGCTGCGCGCAAGGCAGCGCGCAGGGCAGCGCGCAAGGCAGCGGGCAAGGCAGCGGGCAGGGCAGCGCCCAAGGCACCGCGCAAGGGGTAACTGGGCTCAAAGCGAGCCCATATGGTGCTGGGAGTGGCGTCCCAAGGGGTATGGTGCACCGTTACACTGTGCATGGTGGTAACCTGTACGCCGCGAGCTTGCACGCCTCCCACAGCTTCCATGGGGCCACCGGCTATGCAGGCTGGGATCCGCGCGTAGACGGCCGTCAGCAGAACGGTCAGCAGAACGGTCAGCAGGGAAGGTCGAACGCGATGGGGGACCTGCGTGGGAAGGCGAATACGGTGGTGGATAGCTTGCAAGGAAAGGCGAATGCTTTCACCGGTGTGCAGGGTACGGCGTCAGGGCTCGGGAGTGTAGAGCAGGCGGACGGGAGCGTGCACAGCGTGGGCGTTGGGGCCAGCGCTAGTGTCCTAGCCAAGCTGCGGCTGGAAGGAGAAGATCGGATGAACGATCGGTTGAATGCGGTGGCTGGGAGTGCGGAGGGTGCTGTTCGTGGTGGTGGGCTTTTCGGGAGCGTCTTCGGTCCAGGGTTTGGCCCTGGGGCGGGCTCTTCGGGGGGAGGGTTTTCTGGTGCGGGCGTTGGGGCGGGGATTTCAGGAACGGGCGTTTCTGGGGTGGTCTCTTCCGGGGGTAACGAGGGTCTTGCTGGGGGTGGCTGGGAGCGAGGTTTTGGGGTCGGTGCTGCTGCTGCTGCGGGTGACAGCTTCTCGGGTTTGGAAAGGGTGTTTTTGTCGAGAGGAGAGCAAGCACTTGAAGGTGGTCAACCACCGACTACGGGCTTACCGGTAGTAGCGGCAGATGACTGCGTCAAGGCAGAAGCGCATGCGACCAAGGGAGAGGAGCAGGGCTCGGAGTGGGACAGGAGCATGGGGGACGGTGTGGGGGTGGGCAAGGGAACGGGAGAGGCGAAGGGAATGGAGGGAATGGAGCGCGCAGCAGACGCGGTAGCCGCAGACGCGTTAAGAGGAGACGCGTTAAGAGAAGACGCGGTAACAGCAGTGGTGGAGGATATGGGGTTCGACGCTCTAGCGGAGTATCTAACCTTTCCGGACGACGACCCGCCGTGGTCGAGCCTCCCTGGTTGGGACGAGCTGATTCTGGGAGGAAGTGGCGGGGCGGAAGCAGGCGGAGGAGTCGCAGGTGATGTAGAGGCAAGAGCGGAAGGCGCAGAGGCGGGAGGGGCAGCAGGGGCAGGTGCAGGAAGCGGAGCAGGGGGAGGGGGGGGAGGTTCGGTTGCTCAGGTAGGCGTGCCAGTAGGTACGGCTGAACGGGAGAAAGGTATGGAGGGAGGTTCGGGTATGGAGGGAGGTACGGGTATGGATGGAGGTACGGGTATGGATGGAGGTACGGGTATGGAGGAGGCGGGTGATGACGCCATGTGTCGTGGGCACTTAGCGCTGACTGCTGACGTCTGCGTTCGTGGGGGCATGCTCATGTCCCTACTGGCTGACGTCACCAGGCTAGGGGGAGGCGGCGGGGGAGGGGGAGGGGCAGAACAGGCAGAGACGGGGCTCTTTTATGGCATGGATGGGATGGATGGGGCAGGGTACTATGAAACAGGGGCGGTTTCTGCGTCAGCAGATAGCAGCGGTGCTGCTAGCGGCAGTGCTGACGTTACTGGCAGTGCTGACGCTACAGCCAGTGCTGACGCTACAGCCAGTGCTGACGCTACAGCCAGTGCTGACGCGACTGCCAGTGGTGACGTGGACAGCGCTGACGTCAGCGCGGGGGCTGATGACGGGGCCACATTGGCACGGTCAGCGGAGGGTATGGGAGAAGTGTACATCAGGGGCGGAACAGGGGGGCATAATGGTGGGGCGCCAGGGCATAATCATGTGCTAAGCGCGCGCACGGGCGTGGCAGACGCGCATACGGGCGAGGCGTTTATGGGTGAGGGACTAGGGTTTGATGCTGCTGCAGCAATGGACTTGGGGTTGATGGAAGCCTGGGGGCACTCTGCTGGGGTGATTGGCTCTGGCTCTGGGGCTTTCAGCACGCTCCTGGGCTGCGAAAGCGAATCCTTGCTTTCGAGGCAGCAGCACCAGCAGCAGCACCAGCAGCAGCACCACCAGCAGCAGCACCACCAGCAGCAGCATCTTCGTTGCAGTGGTAACGAGGCTCCTGCCTTGTTTGAGTTTACAGAAGGAGCCCCTGCTGCAGCTCTTGATTCCGCAGCCACCGAGGTGTTGGAACAGTCGGACCTTCTGCTACTGCTTCAGCAGCAGCAGCGACAACAGCAACTGCAGCAGCAGCAAAGACAGCAGCAGCAGGACCAGCAACAGCAACAGAAGGAGCAGCAGCAACTGCAGCAGCAGCATCAACAACGACAACAGCAACTGCAGCAGCAGCAGCAGCAGCAGCAGCAACAACAGCAGCAGCAGCAGCAACAACAACAGCAGCAGCAGCGCACAAATCTGGCAGCAAGTGTAACAAGCGGTATGGCGAGAAATTCTCCCTCCCACCTCGCCTATAACGCTCACCCTAGAGATGGTTCAACTGGGCGTGGACATTCCAGCCCTGTAACACCTACATGTTGCCCTGTAACATCCGGAGGTCAAGCTGTCGCACATTTAGATAGCTCCCTAGCACCAATAGGTCGAGGCCTTTCTGCTCCTGCTGCTGTGGCAGCAGCAGAGACGGTAGGTGTAGCAGATGCAAAGAATCAAACAGCAGCAGCGGCGGAAGCAGGAGGAGCAGGAGAGAGAGCAGGCGAGGGAGCAGGAGAGAGACAATGGGGAGTGGCTTCAGCTGGTGGGCTCAGAATGGGGCAGTCAGGTGCTGGGAGCGCTGGGACGAGAGAGCTGGCCGGAGGGCAGGTAGAAGAGCAGATCGGGGGGAAGATAGGAGGGCAGGTAGAAAGGCAGATCGGGGGGAAGATAGGAAGGCAGGTAGAAGGGCTAACAGGGGGGCACTTCGGAGGGCAGGTGGATAGGGGGGTGCACATAGGGGGGCTGATGCAAGGTCAGGTAGCAGGGCAGACGAGAGCCGCACCTATGCTGCCACCCACTGTGCTGCTCCCCGCCTGCATGCAAGGGAAGCCGGGCTCCAGTGCTAACGCCAACGCTAGTGCCAATGCTAGCGGCAATGCTAGTGGCGATGCTAGTGCGAGTGCCCATGGCAATCCCAATGGGCCTTTCTCCCCATCCACCACCGGCCAATCACAAGCAGCCTCTGTGTTCTCTTCCTCCCCCGCCACCGCTACATCCACTGCTGCTCGTGCTACAACCCAGCAGCAACCACGTATAGCAGCCCCTGCTGCTACAACCGCCCCTTCTGACCCGCCCCACGCTTTCCCCCAACCCGGGCGGTCTCCCGACCGTCAGCTCGGGGAGACTGACAAGGCGGCAGCACCTGCAGCAGCAGCTGCAGCAGCACCCATAGCAGGAGTAGCTATGGCAGAAGGGGGCAAAAGGGGAGGAGAGGGGGTTGGCAGAGCGGGGGGAAAGGGGAGTGGAGGAGGAGGGGGAATAGGAGCTGGGGGAGGAGGGGTCAGCAGCTGCAGTTCAGGCAAAAGCAACCGTCGATCCAGCCCAGGTCTTCGGAAAGGAGGCGGAAAGGGAGTGGGAACAACCTCGGGTGCTGGGGGCATGGGCATGGGCACGGGTACCGGCATGGGTATGGGCATGGGCACAGGCATGGGTACAGAAATGGGTATGGGGCGGGCTGGTCCGTTCAACGGAGCTGTCTCGGTGCATTCCAAACGGGGATATTTCTGCACTGGAGGCCGTGGCTGCACCGGGGGGCCCTCCTGCCACCACAACCACGTGTCCCCCGCTCTCTTCATGATGGCTGCTACAGCAGCGGCCGGGACCGGAATGATCCCCATGGGCGCGTTTCGGCAGCAGCTGCATGGGAGGGTAGTGAAGCGGGTCGAGCCCCCTGTGAAACGGAAGAGGGGCCGGCAAAAGAAGGTTCCGTCGAAGAACGGGCCGTGTGGCGCGACCACGAATCTCCGGGCGCTTGTTCCGAGGTCCATGTCGGGAGCAGGAGGGGGAGGAGAGGGGGGAGGCGGGGGAGGGGGAGGAGTTGCGGGTGCAGCAGGTGCAGGCGTGGGAATGCAAGGAGTGGCAGGAGCAGCAACAGCAGCAGCAGCAGCGGCAGGAGCAGGCCCTATGCAATTCATGCAGACCCTTCCTCCCGGCCCGCCCACCCTAGTCCCACACCAGTTTATCCCTGCTCCAGGTCCGTCCAGTCTTCCTTCCAACACAGCAGCAGCCATGTCACCGGGCGCAGCAGCAACAATGCCCATGTTCTGGGGACCTGTAGCTTGGATTCACCCTTCTGGGGCTCCTGCGGGCCCCTCACCCATGCAAATGTCTGGCGGTCATAACATGCCAATGCCCCTGCACATGCACCAAGCGGGTATGGCAGGGATGGCAGGGATGGGTGCAATGGGTGCGATGGCAGGGATGGGAGGTGGGGCGATGGGAGGTGGAATGATGGTGCAGGGAGGGGGGGCGCATGGGTTAACGGGGATGGTTACAGATGGGAGGGTGCATGGGGGGTTTATAGCAAGTGGCATGCAGCCACCGGATGGGATGGGATAAGTCCGGGGGGGGGGGGGGGGGAGTTGCATGGGGTAATGTTGATGGTTGGTTACAGATGGGTGGGTGCATGTCAGGGTGCATGGGAGGGTGCATGGGAGGCTTATAGCAAGTGGCATGCAGCCACCGGATGGGATGGCAATGAGTCTGGGGGAGGGGGCACGGGGGGCATTGTGCTAGAAGGGGCTGGGCTGACTGACGGTACGAGCAGCAGTATGCTTGCATGCATGGGGTACTGTCGATGGTTGGTTGCAGATGGGAGGGTGCATGGGGGGCTTATAGCAAGTGGCATGTAGCAACCGGAGGGGATGGCATGAGCGTGGGGGCGTGGGGGGCATTGTGCTACAAGGGGCTGGGTTGATGGTACCTACCTACCCACCCGCTGCAGCCGGGGTGCATGCATGGGGTGATGTTGACTGTTGGTTACAGATGGGTGGGTGCAGGGGAGGGTGCAGGGGAGGGTGCTCGCAAGTGGACTGCACCAACCAGATTCAGTGACATGAGGCTAACACGTCATGTGGACATTACATGACATTATTTATCCACGCTGACTAACTGTATGTACATTTCTTTATAATCATCATGACTGATTTACATGTGTGACATTCCATATTGAGGCAGTGCCATGCCAAAGAATGAAGAGGACAACCAGATTGTATGTGAAATGTCACTGTAGAGCCAGCCAAATGTTACTGTATGCGAAACGACAGGGTAACTATTTACACAGGCGTAACAAACAGAGAAGGCATCAATCCGCCAGTGGGGTGAGCAGGCCACAGACTAATCTGAGCCAGGGCTTACATCAGCCTCAACTGGTACTTGGAACAGTTGTCAGCAGCAGGGGAAGAACCGTGGGTCGGAGGGGAGCTGGTACTCAAGGATGGGCTAGAGGGGACACAGATGGGGCGAAGGGCGGACGGTGTGGAAGGATGGGGAGGCAAGGGGAAAAGGTCAGTGCTTGCAGCAGCGTCAAGTGGTGCTTTGAGCAGTTGTCAGCAGCAAGGGAAGAACCGTGGGTCGGAGGGAAGCTGGTACTCCAGGGTAGGCTGGAGGCGAGGCAAGTGGATGGGAGGGGGGGAGTGGGGAATGAAGGGACATGCGGGGAGAAGGGGGGAGCATTAGCATCTGGAGAGCAGTTGTCAGCAGCAAGGGAAGAACCTCAGGTCGGAGGGGAGCTGGTACTCCAGGGTAGGCTGGAGGCGAGGCAGGTGGGGAGAAGGGTAGAGTAAACAAGGTGTGATGCCGGGGTGGAGCACAAACAGAGACTGTTGGAGGAGTCTATTTTTGAGGCGCCTCACAAACAGAGACTGTTGGAGGAGTCTATTTTTGAGGCGCCTCACAAACAGAGACTGTTCTTCTTTTCCTCCTCCCCACACTCACCTTGACACTGTCGGAATTCGCAGGGTGTTTTTGAGAATTCTAAAAAACACCCTGCAATTTTTTGTTAGAATTCTCAAAAATTCCTCCTCCCCACACTCACCTTGAGACTGTCGGAATTCGGATGTGAGAGAGGGAACACCACTCGCACATCCCCAAACAGAACAAACAAGTCATTCGCCTCTCACCCCCCTAGCACATCCTTCCTGCACTCACACCCCACTTCACACATCTTTCTTGCACCCACTCACGACACTCACGACACTCACCTTGAGACTGTCGGAATTCGGATGTGTGAGAGGGAACACCACTCGCACATCCCCAAACAGAACAAACAAGTCATTCGCCTCTCACCCCCCTAGCACATCCTTCCTGCACTCACACCCCACTTCACACATCTTTCTTGCACCCACACTCACGACACTCACGACACTCACCTTGAGACTGTCGGAATTCGGATGTGTGAGAGGGAACACCACTCGCACATCCCCAAACAGAACAAACAAGTCATTCGCCTCTCACCCCCCTAGCACATCCTTCCTGCACTCACACCCCACTTCACACATCTTTCTTGCACCCACACTCACGACACTCACGACACTCACCTTGAGACTGTCGGAATTCGGATGTGTGAGAGGGAACACCACTCGCACATCCCCAAACAGAACAAACAAGTCATTCGCCTCTCACCCCCCTAGCACATCCTTCCTGCACTCACACCCCACTTCACACATCTTTCTTGCACCCACACTCACGACACTCACGACACTCACCTTGAGACTGTCGGAATTCGGAAGTGTGAGAGGAAACACCACTCGCACATCCCCAAATAGGAACAGCCGGGTCTTGCGCTCCTTCCGACCCTCCCCTCTGTCTTTCTTACCCTCCTTCCCTCCATCCTCCTCCTTCACCTTGCGCCTCCTTCCTTCACTCCTTCCTTCACTCCTTCCTTCACTCCTCCCTTCACTCCTTCCTTCACTCACTCCCTCTAGATCCCTCGGTTCTCCCACTCCCCTTGCCTCTCCCTCACTTCCCCTCTCTAAAGCACCAGCAGCACCACCAACAGCACCAGCAGCAGCAGCACCGCCAGCACCGGCAGCAGCACCAGCAGCAGCACCAGCAGCACCGGCAGCAGCAGGGTTGCGTGCCTTGGGCAGGCAAACAAACTGCAGGTGAATCACAGCTCTAACTGCCCCAGGTAGCACCCCCCCCTGCCCCAGCTGCTCCCGCCCCTGCCCTTTCCCCTGCTCCTGCTTCTCCGCGTGCTGCTGCTGTCGATCCAAAGAGGCTGTCTGGGAAGGTTCCTGGAAAGATACGGAAGCCTGTTTGGGCGCAAGCACTGTTTTCTGGCGAATGAAGGTCTGCCGACACGAGGAGGGGGAGAAAGATGGATCAGAAAGAAAGGGGAAGGAGGAGGAGAAAGATGGATCAGAAAGAAAGGGGAAGGAAACAAAAAGGGGGGAGGAGGAGAGGGGGGGGAGGGGGGATGTAGGGGCAAGAAACACACAAAGACTTTCTAAAAACACAGGGAAGAGCCATAGTATACCTTGGAATTCGGTGGCATGTCAGAGAGGTTGTAGGAGCAGGCCAAGGTGTGAAAAGGTGTGAAGAGGCGTCAAAAGGTGTTGAGGTGTGGATGGGCGTGGCCCCAGGGGTCGCCAGCAGCTGAACCTTGAACCCTCAAAACAGAATAAACCAATAGAGCGCCGCACCTTGGAATTCGGTGGCATGTTGGATAGGTCGTAGGAGCAAGCGAAGGTGTAAATGGGCATGCTCTCTGCTGCAACCTCAGGTTATCTTTCTGCAGACATAAGGAGTCTATTTTTGAGGCGCCTCAAAAATAGACTCTGCTGCAACCACTGATACTCTTTCTGCAGACATTGGGAAATAGCAGAACAAACATACCTTGGAATTTGGTGGCATGTCCGAGAGGTCGTAGGAGCATGCAAAGGTGTGCACGGGCGTGCCCTCGGGATTCGACAGCAGCAGTTGGATCCGGCCCTTGGTGGGTACCCTCACTCTCTGGCTCTTCGAAGACCAGCCATTCGAAGAAAACCGAGCGGGCGACAACACAGTAGATGTCAAACCGCTGGAGGAGCCCCCCTCACGAGCCGACCGCCCACCCATCCCCATTTCTAGCCCTTCATCCCCCTCTGCCCTTCCGCCCTCTCCCTGTCTGCTTCCTCGTCCAAGTGGCAACTCTGTGCACTCTAGCCCGTGCCTAGCAGCCCCTCTGTCAACCGCAATAGCAGCACTGCGGCTGTCCCTCCTTGCCCTCCCTTCCTCCCCCTCAGTCGCAGCAGTGCGGCTATAAAAAATCCGGCCAACACCAATACCAGCAGCAGCAGCAGCACCAGCAGCAGCAGCATCCTCATTCCGCCTTACCACTTCCGCCCCTCCCCCGATGGCAATGCTAGCAGCGTAGAGTTGGGAGGGCGACGACGGGAGGAATGAGGCTGAGAAGGACGTCTTGAGCGGATCAGTGGTCCACTCCCCTTGCTGTGGTATGACTGCTAGAATGGCTTTAAAGCCGTGAATGCACTGCAGGCAGGGCAGAGAGGAAGGGAGACCAGGGTATAATGAGTCGATTTTTGAGTCGACTAAAAAATCGACTCATTACACGAGGAAGGGAGACCAGGGGAATGAAGAAAGGGAGAACAGGAGGGAGATAGTGGAGGTGAAGAGAAATTAGGAGGTAAAGAGAAATTAGTAGGAGGTCAAGAGAAATTAGGAGGTCAAGAGAAATTAGGAGGTCAAGAGAAATTAGGAGGTCAAGAGAAATTAGGAGGTCAAGAGAAATTAGGAGGTCAAGAGAAATTAGGAGGTCAAGAGAAAATTAGGAGGTCAAGAGAAATTAGGAGGTAAAGAGAAATTAGGAGGTAAAGAGAAATTAGGAGGTAAAGAGAAATTAGGAGGTAAAGAGAAAATAGGAGGTAAAGAGAAATAACGAGGTTCTGAGAAATACGAGGGCCTCCCGTTTGAATCTCGTTTCTTCCAAACCCCCCCCCCCCCCCCCCCCCGCCCCTCCCCCCTGCCACCAAACTCCTACCCCTTCACTTCTCTCATCTTCCTCCGCCGCTCACCTTGACTTTCCCCTCTCCTCCCCCTTAGCCGCCTGCCATAGCAAAGACCCTTCAAACGATCCCACCAACAGAGATCCCCCCCCTCCCCCTCCCCCCCTCCCCCTCCCTCCCTCACCCCTCCCCCATCGCCCTCGCTCACCTTCACACTCCCCGCCTCTTCTCCCCTCCTGGCAGCATGCCATAGTAGGGATTCCTCAAACGACCCCACCAGCGATCGCCGCAGCAGCAGCTGCCGCTGCTGCCGATTCCTCTCCCTCTCCCCACCGCATGCCGACGTGGCACATGCTGACGAGGCAGCAGCTCCTGCTGCGCATCCCCTGGAAGCGAGCCATCGGTGGAAAAAGAGGTCGCTGACCGTGGGAGCTGAGGCTGACGTGGAGGTCGCGAGGCAGCTGCTGGGGCAGAGGGTGCTGACGTGGCGGTCAATGGGAGCAGATGGGAGAGGACATGGCGTGGCCGAACCAGCGGAAGCCACATCAGCTACGGAAGATTCTGGACGAATCTCAGCCACAGATTCTGGTTCCCAACCGAGCGTGGTGGCAAACCCGATCTGACGGTTCCGAACGCTTGGGCCAGAAATCAACGAGCCCCGATTACAGTTGGCAACACAAGGGGGATTCTTGGTGAGAGAAGTGATACTAGGCGGTGTGCTATTATCAGAGAGAAAGGAGCCGTGGAAAGATGCTGAGAGCTCCTCTCTATGATCACATGCAGGGTTGGATCCATGGGAACTGTAGCAGAGGTGCTTGTATCGAGAGTGACTGTAGTGAAACATCCCGCAACGGTGAGAATTGCAGGAATGCGAACAGCCAGCATCCCGAGGCGCCTCCGGTCTATGTGCGTCAGCAGCGGTCGCCAGGTCAGCCGGCGTTGCCACGTCAGCAGGTGATGCCACGTCAGCAACCGTTGCCAGCTCAGCATCTGTTTCCGCCACCAGCTGCAGTGGCTGCAGTGCAGCAGACAAGGCACCGCGATGGGTGGTGGTGCTGCCGTTCCGTTGCTGCGCCCCAAGAGGGGCAACAGCAGCAGCAGGGGCAACTGCAAGAGCAGCAGGCGCAGCAGCAGCAGCAGCAGCAGCAGCAGCAGGCGGCACGGCGCCTGCTAGAGGCGGTTTGAAGCGAGACGGACGAGGGGCAGGAGAGAGGGGCGAAGGGGAGAGGGCGGCTGGGGTGGGGCGGGCTGGGTTGAGGGGCGACGGCGAAAGGGGGGAAGGGGAGAGGCGGGATCCGGGGAGGGCTGAAGGGAAAGGGGGAGAGGGGGAGAGGGAGCACTGTTGGAGGGGGGATGGGGAGAGGGGGGAGAAAGGGAAGGGGGGCGGGGAGGATAAGGAGGCGGGCGTGATAGCTCCCTCCTCACCCTTTCCACTATCCCCCTCCTCCTTCTCCTTCTCCTCCTCCTCCTTCTCCTCCTCCTCCCTCCCTTCTGAGGCGTACAGACGGTCTCCTTGCTGCGGCGCGTGAGTCATCCCGGATGCACGCAAGCACAAGCGCAACTCCTTCTGCTGTTGCTGCTCTCCCGCTTGCGACTGCTGCGACAGCTGCGACAACCGCAGCGACTGCCACGTCGGATGAGCGACGCGCGACGGTGCTCCTGTCAAAGGAGCTGCCGCATGCGACGCCGCAGGGAGCGCCGCAGGTGGCGGCGGTAAGCCCGCCAAAATTGCTGGCACCTGAACAGCCTCTGCCAGCGGTTTCGGTGCTCCGTACGCAATCCGAAAGTCCCTTAGCCTCTGCGCCTGCACGTGCTTCGCCGCAGAGATCTCTTCAAGCGACATGCTTGCGAGGGCGACGGCGCAACCGTCGCCATCACGAACATGCGAGTCCGCGACGGCATGCGACGTCGCAGGAAGAGTGTCGCACGGCGACGAGTGGTCGGCGAGGTGGGACCGGTTAGTCGCAGGGATTCGCAGGGGGCTCTTCGCAGACTCGGGAATAGTCCTCCCCATGGCGTGCTGCCTTTTACGCGACTGGTTCTACTCAGTACGCCGGCTAAGCTGGGTGAAGGCGATTTCGATACCGTCCGGTCCTCGCGTTTCAAAAACTAGCAATAAAAGGGCCGTGCAGGACACTAGGATTCTTGGGAGAGCAAGTAAGTACATGGGCCGCGCGACTGATTCCCTAATCCACTCCACGACAACGCGCTGGTCAGCACTGCTGAGTCTCTCTCCGCTAAATCCTCGGAATGCCTTACTGCCCCAGGAATGGTTTTTGCAGGAACCAAGCAGAGATGGGTGGAGAGGGAACGGGAAGACCAGGAGGGAGGTACTCGCATGGCATGTCACGGAAACTTGAGTTGAGAAGCCATGGCATGGCATGCCAAATGATGGGATTGGGATGGGATGGGATGGAAGACCCAAAGCGGAGCCATGGAATGAGATAGTGGAGCCATAGCATTGGATGAGCTGGAGGAGTCATACCATTTCCCCAATCTTGGCTGCATGCGTGGCAACACAAATGAGCTGTCTGCTGGTGGCGTGACGAATCGCCCATGACTGTGAAGCGAGACTCTACGAGAGTCGCAAATGGTAACCGAGTTTATGTTGCCCAACCATCAGCTGACATGAGGTTCGCGCGGCCTAGGCGAATTCGGCTGCGATGGCGGTTACTTGCTGCCCTGACCAACGGCGGCGAATGAGTGGATTCCTCTCCCCTCCCATCTGATTGTGATTTGTCGCCTGACAATGGGGTGGTAACCGTACGAGCCCTTACAAATGCTTAGGACGTCCACGATCATTTGCGCAAGAAACAAAGGCTTTGAGGTGACGTGACGACTGGATTGCGCTATTGCTGAGCTGTAACTTCGAAGGGCCACAATTGGTGGATGGCATTCCGGCCGCACAGCATGATTTTCATTTTCCTTGATATACCCTTTCAGTTAGAATGTACACAGCTCCTCTTTGGCGTGTCCAAATACATACTCCTGCAAATGCTTAGACAAGGCTCGACGCCAATGCGTCGTTAGGGTTGCGTAGCAGCTTGATAGAATCCTGAAATGAAAGAGCAATTCTCTCATGCGAATAAATAGGTAAGAGAGTTCGTTTGTAAGGTAAGCTATGTGCAATTGTTTTTCAGATTGGATATGAGCGTAAACGTGATTTGAAGCCATTAGGGGATTTTGATGAGAAATGTATAAACGAGAACAATGCCATGGGTTTTCTACAAATCTCAACATGAAAAAAAGGTTTGGTTGAAAAACAACATCAAATGGTGATTATGGATGCAAGGCGTGTACTTGTCTGTAGCTATTAGAACTTATGCATTTTTGTCGAGACGAGAGGAAAAAGATATTTACTGTTGTGGCTTTTTATTCAAGCTTGACTTTTTAGTTGCAGTGTTTCACGTGGGATGATGGTACATTATGTCAACTTATACATATTATCTATGTAGAAGTTATAGGCTAGACTGAGGTATGCTTCTAGTGAGTACAACCAACTAGTATTTGTTCTAGGTTTCCACCTCTAGTAATCATTCGTTTCTACGTTAACATGGTATCACGCTTAGGTTAGGATCCCCCCGCCTACCGCTTCCGCCCGTCGCGCCTCCTAGGCCCCGTCGCGCCCCCTAGGCCCCGTCGCGTCCCCCCTGGGCCCCGTCGCGCTCGTTAGGCCCCGTCGCGCCCCCCATGGGCCCCGTCGAGCCCGCTGAGCCCCGTCGTGCCTCCTAGGCATCGTCGCGCCTCCTAAGCCCCGTCGCGTCCCCCCCCCTCTGGGCCCCGTCGCGCCCGTTCGGCCCCGTCGCGCCCCTCCTAGGCCCTGTCGTGCCCGCTGGGCCCCGTCACGCCTCCTAGGCCCCGTCGCGCCCCCTCTGGGCACCGTCGCGCCCGCTGGGCCCTGTCGCGCCTCCTAGGCCCCGTCGCACCCGCTGGGCCCCTTCGCGCTTCCTAGGCCCCGTCGCGCCTGCTAGGCCCCGTCGCGCCCCCCCTGGGCCCCGGCACCTCCGGAGGCGGTGGCCGTGGTGGCGGCCCGCGCAGCTTGGCGTCTACCAGCGGCTCCAGTGCTGTGACCTGCCAGTACCAGCTTCAGACCGGGCCTCTCCGCGGCACTCTGTGCCGCCGCCCGCACCCGACCGCCCGCTGTTTCCGCCGCCTCGACGATCTTTTTCGTCGTCGCTTTGGCCCGGCCCCGGACCTCCCTGACTGGCACAGCCTACTCCGCCAGGGCGTGCCGATCTTTGAGTTAGACATGGATCAGATAGGTGCTGCTTTGCATGCTTTGTATGCTGACGCTTCTAGTGTTGCTGGATCTTACTACCCTGTGTACTCTAGTTTAGGTGTTTCACCCTTGTGTAGCTTAGCTTCCCCTGCTGCGACAGGCGTAGGACTGCCTAGGTTGCCTAGTCTAGTCGCTGCACCGGCTCCGTCCCCGGCCTCCGCCACTGCGTCGCTGTCCTTCACTCTCGACTCTGGTGCTTCTGCCTGCTTCTTCCGCGACCGTTCCACGCTCACGCCGCTTGCTGCACCTGCTGTTGTCTCTCTCGCTGACCCCTCTGCGGGTCCGGTCGTCGCGCGCAGTTCTACGTCCCTTCCTTGTCCGGCAGTTCCCTCGGGCTCCCTTACTGGCCTCCACGTTCCCTCGTTCTCCAGGAACCTGGTTGGTGTCGGCTGTCTCCAGGACCTCGGCGTCACCACCACGTTCCCCGGGCACGAGCGGTTCGCTGTCTGTTCTGAGGCTGTCTCAGGTTCCCCCCTTGCGACGTTCCCCCGGGACCCGGTGTCCGGTCTGTTTACCCTACACACCGCTTCCCCCCCGGTTGGTGCGTCCTCCCAGGTCGCTGCAGCTTGCTCGTGTCGGTCCCTCACTCACCCCTCCCTTCTCTGGCACCACCGCTTAGGTCACCCTGCTCTCCCGCGTCTGCGTCACATGTCCCAGCACGGTCTTGTCTTAGGTCTCCCCGCGTCGCTCCCTGCCCTTCCTCCCTCGACTGCGCCACCGTGCACGCCTTGCGTCGAGGGTCGGCTACGCCGTGCTCCTCACTCCTCCTCGCTGCGTCCTGCTACTGCCCCCCTTCAGACCCTGCACTTGGACGTTTGGGGCCCTGCCCCCGTCCCCGGACCGCGCGGTGAGCGCTACTTCCTTGTGCTCGTCGACGACTACACGCGCTACACCACGGTGTTTCCCCTGGAGCGGAAGGCCGACGTGCCCGACGTTCTTCTCCCGTGGGTTGTGGCTGCGCGTCTCCACCGCGGTCTCCCCGTGTTGTGTCTCCACTCCGACCGTGGCGGCGAGTTCGCCTCTAGTCGGCTTGGACAGTTCTGTCGTGCGGAGGGCATCACCCAGTCGTACACGTTGCCGGACTCGCCACAGCAGAATGGGGTTGCTGAGCGCCGCATCGGCTTGGTCATGGAGGTCGCCCGTACCTCCATGATCCATGCCGATGCCCCCCATTTTCTGTGGCCGTTCGCTGTTCGCTACGCGGCTCACCAGCTTAACCTGTGGCCACGCTCCCAGCGGCCGCAGGTTTCGCCGACCCTCCTTTGGACCGGGTCCCCCGGTGACGCGTCTGCGTTCCACGTCTGGGGCTGCCTTGCTCACGTTCGTGCCTCTGGCACGGACAAGCTCACTGCCCGCACTGTCCCCTGTGTCTTCCTCGGTTTCCCCCTGGACTCGTCTGACTGGCTTTTCTACCACCCGCCGTCTCACCGCTTCCTCCACTCTCGTGACGTCACCTTTGACGAGTCCGTCTCCTTCTACCGCCGCTTCCCTCACCGAGGTCTCCCAGTTGCCCCCCCCCTTTTCCTTGCTCCCTCTCCCCCGGTAGCCCCTGCCCCTCTCCCGCCTCGTCCTGCCCCGTCTGGTGTCTCCCACGTCACTCCCCTCCCGTCGGTTGTCCCCGTTGAGGAGTCTGCTGACTCTGGTGGTTCCCCCGGTCCGTCCTTGCAGCGTCCCCCTTCCCCGGTGCCTCCGCCCCCACTGTCGCAGTCGCCGACCCCGCTGCCGCCGCCGTCGCCGTCGCCGCTGTCGTCGCCGCCGCCGCCGCTGTCGCTGCCGCAGCCGTCGCCGCTGTCGCCGCCGCCGCAGCCGTTGCCGCCACTGCCGCCGCTGCTCTCGGCCCCTGGGGGTGCTGGTGTGGAGGAGGGTGTTCGTCCTGCGGCTTCTGGGGGTGCCGCTGGTGTTGGAGGGAGTTCTCGCTCTGGGGGTGTTGGTTCTGGGGGTGCTGCTGTTGAGTGTTCTGCCGACGGTCGTTCTGCCTCTGCTGGTCCGAGAGTTCCGGCCCAGCCGTCGTCGCCGCCGCAGCAGCCGTCGCCGCCGGTTTCCGCTCTCCGCCTGCTCGGCCTTCCCTCCCCGGACCGCGCGCCGGTGTCTCCCCCACCGCCTCCTGACCTTCCTGTCTACGGTCCTGTGTTCCCGCCGCCAGACTCGTCTCCGGCCCGTCTTCCTCCTCGTTCCCCTCCTGTGTCTCCTCCGCTGTCCCCTGACCCTACCCCTCCGTCTCACGTTTGGGCTCGCCGTCCCTCCCGTGCTCGTCCCGTCTCTCCTGTCCTGCCCACCCACCCTATGTTGCTCCGTTCCCACTCGTCTCGTCCTCCCCTCCTCCCGTCCCCTCCTCCCTCGTCCCTTGCTGTTGCACCTCCTCCGTTCTCTGACTACCTCCGTGCTGCTCGTCCCCTTGTCCCTCGGGTCCTTGCCTCTCTTGTTACCGACCCTGCTGTTCCTGTCTCGCGCCTTGACGCGCTTGTCGCTGCTGTCGCTGACTTCGCTTCTACCCGCCGCCTTGACTACGCTACCGCTCTGGTCTCTGACCCTGCCCGTCCTCTGTCCGTCGGGGGTGCTCCTGCCCTTGGCAGTGACGTCCTAGAGGACAGGCAGTACGAGCTGGCTTTCCTTTCCGAGGCTGCTCCCCATCTCTGCTCCATGCTGTTAGTCCCTGAGGGTGACCCAGACGCCTTCGACATCCCGACCCCTCGCACCTACGCTGAGGCCACCTCGGGACCTTGGGCCTCTCAGTGGATAGCTGCCATGGAGCAGGAGATGGCATCTTGGAGATCCACCGGCACTTACGTCGACGCAGTTCCCCCGCCTGGGGTGAACGTAGTCGATGGTCGGTGGCTCTTCAAGGTGAAGCGCCCCCCTGGAGAGCCGCCTGTCTTCAAGGCGCGCTACGTGGCCAGAGGTTTCAGTCAGCGCGAGGGGGTTGACTTCTTCCAGACCTTCGCCCCGACCCCGAAGATGACCACTCTTCGGGCGCTGCTACACGTAGCAGCACAGCGTGACTACGAGCTTCACTCTCTCGACTTCTCTACTGCCTTTCTTCAGGGCAGCCTACACGAGCAGGTCTACCTGCGCCGACCACAGGG